TTTGCACTAGGGAGTTATTGGTGTTAGAAATATTTGTGATTAGAAATATTTGCTTTCCTACTGCGAGCCCCCTTTGCTTATGTACTCGAAAGGTAAAGACTATCAAAGCTGCTGCAGCAGCCATAATAGGACTGTTCCAAGTCAGGCTCTCCAGGATTGTTCCAAGTCAACTCGTTAATTTTCCAGAGAGGAATTTCATCCGAGAGGGAGATTGATTCAATATTATTCAACAAGAATTGCTATTAAATAGTAGAGTATCTGTATGAAAATTGCGTCATTTGTTTTTTAGAAAAAAACTTGCAGTCATCCATCTAATTATATATACATATATATATATATTGGTTTTTGTGGTCGTCAGTTTGTAAGAGCCGTGATATTAAACACATCCGACACCAACAACTCGGTTTCCTGCCAAGCCGGCGGCAGTAACCAGGAATTGGTTTGCTGCGTGGTGGCCCGCTATCACTCAGTCGGCACCCTGAAATCGTACCTGGAAAAGCACCGCCTGAAGAAGCTCCGGCTGCGGAAAGTGGTTGCGATTCCACATGCACTCTCTCCGGCTGCGGAAAGTGGTTGCTCGCCTCGGCTACACCAATACCACCACAAAGTTAATCACCTATTAACTTAATTCATCCCATACACAATTAATTATCATGGGTTCCATAGCCAACGAGAACAATGAGAGGCCGACGTCGCTGCTGATCAGCGGCTTCACCGTGACGGTGGTGAAGAATGAGCTGGTGGCGGCCGCGCTGCCGGTTCAGGAGCATTGGCTCCCGCAGTCCAACCTCGACCTGCTCGTGCTGCCGTTGGACGTCGGGGTATTCTTCTGTTACTCCACGGCGCCGGCGGGCGGCAAGGATGCCGCGGTGGCCGGGCTGAAGAACGAAGACGGGTCTGATAATTTTTATTTTTGTTCTATTATTTTATTGTCATTTTACTATATTGTCCTTGTTGTTATAATAACAACATATAGACTGTTGTTATACTATCCGGAGCCCTCCAATGGCTTGTATTTCTAATTCATTTTTTAATTATTTGATAATAAGGTGGAATTTGTAATAAATTAAATTTCATTATTTATTTGTTTTTAAATTGCCACATCACCTATTTAACGGTCAACTATGAGAGTTGACTGCCACCTGAGCAAAAGTTAATGGAGACTAACGGCCAGTGACTAAACTTGGACTATGTAACTAATTTGAGTGACTACAGATGGAATAAATTAATTTTAATGGCAAACATGATTTTTTATAGTAATTCTAGTGACCAAACTTGCAATTTACCCAAAATTTAAATTAATAATATTCAAAGAATTTATTCATAGATAATAGAGAAATATTTAGGATAAATACAATATATTAGCCTTAACTATTAAGCATCGGGGAATTATAGCCACAACTATGAAAATACAAATTATTAGCCAACCGTTGAGTTTTCGTTAACACTTCTGTTAGTAATGATGGCTAAGCTTTTACGATGCTGAGCTGGCTCCCACGTGGCAGTTATTATATCATATTTTTTACAATGCTGACATGGTTTTCTTCGTTAAAAATTTGAAAACAGTAACAGTATGTTAGCCAAATCTTGACCCGCAACAATAGTTATGGCTAATAATTTGTATTTCGATAGTTGTGGCTGTAATTCCCCGCTGCTTAATAATTATGGCTAATATATTGTATTAATCCAAATATTTAACTAATATAATCATTGTTTTCATAAACAACAAGGATGAGTTGTTATATTTTTTAAGAAACGCAAAATACATTCATTGTCTACACGCTTAAGTCAGTATTTCTCAATGTATACAACTAAAGAATCATTAGCAAACTGGTCGTCAATTCGACTTCGAAACTTGTTCTTAATATAGGTCGGAGCTGAAAATGTTCTTTCAACAGGTAGAGTCAAAACTAGCTTCGGAAGCAAATAAAACTTATGAATATGACTAGTGCACTTTTGTTTTCGCCATTACTTGAGATAATCAATTCCTTTCATTCCAACAAATCTTTCATCAACCATAACACCATGATAAGACCGAATAAGTTATTGTCAAATAATAGTGTTATCAATGGAAACAAACTCAATAGGATAAAATCTAGTAACACACAACAACTTCTCCTGGTCAAAAGCACTAAATACGTTCTCCTGACTAAAATAAGTCATACAAATCAACAATCTAGTGTTCATATTATGATAAATTATGTAATTTATGTTAGCTATAAAACTTAACAATAACCTGTAATGTAGTGGTAGAACACTTTTATATAACATAGAGTGATTAATATAATTCTTGGTTTATCTACACAATAAATAAAATTCAAATGAGAAAACTTGAAGCATCATTTCAAATTTCCTGCATCCGGAGTGAAAGTAGGAATGACATTTTGGTCTTCACAATTACTTTTTTTTATTCATTAAAAAGACACTTACTAGGATTCGAACCATGACCACTTTAAAGAAAAGCAAAGATCATAACCAATCATACTAAGTACATTTGCTGTATGTTTTTAAATTAAAAACATATAATCGTAGAGAGGAAAAAACTCTTCCCCCATTTCAAATTCCCTGCTCCAATTTTTTCTTTAAGTCCTTTTATTTCTCCGTGGTGGTAAAATATATATGAAAAGGCAAAAAAAATACTCCTTTTTATTGCTAAAAAGAAAAAAGTTAACAATAAACCAATGCATGGATTCTAATGGGCTAACCACTAATCATAAAATAACAAAGCTGAATGGGTCTGACCTACACGGGATTTGCCCATTAAGTAAAACAAATGAACATCATGAGTTTACCATTCTAAAATAAGCTATTTTCTCTAGCATAATATATATTATGCTATTATTTTATATCTTAGTGGCTAAAATATAATGTATTTTAAAGTTATTCAATGGTTCAACCTCGACCAACCCAATTAGTCCAACTTTTATCATTCAAATATATATTATGTCATTATTTGATATCATAATGATTACATTATAGTGTATATTATAGGGTTCGATATTTGTTAGTAAAAAACTAAACAAAAAGATCTATTTGGTTATTTTTAACATTAAAACGATCCTAAACATTTTCAGTTTGCTATCGAAATTCTATAGTTTTATTCCCAAATGAGTGTTGTGCAAATGGCGAATTGCAGTCATCTCTTTTCTTTCATTATTTTTTATTTTGAAATAGAAAGTTTAAAAGTAAATAATAATTAGAGTTTGGCATGGGTCGGTCAAACAGGCTGAATTTCAAGTTTTGGCCCGTTTTGATCAAGTCTAATTCATAATCACATGGTTCCTTGATATCCGATAAAAATCTCAATCCAAACCAGTTTGGCAGGTGAGTCCGTGTTTATCACCATTTTCTAAGGATACAGGAACGGTGGTTCCGATCCCAAATCATGTTGTTCATTCTTAATTCTTTAGATTTTATCATGTCTTGACAAAAAACCAGAAAGCACAATGATGACAAGATGAAAGTTTTATAAAGCAAATTAATCGGTCAACAGGCTGAGTAAAATCTAGCAACGATTGTGAGATGCTCATTTCCCGAAAATCGGCAGGATATGCGATTTTTTATTCGATTTTCTGGAATTCGGTTTCTATAAAACTTACTCCACCTCATCATATTACCAGAAACAATATTGTTTCACAAGCTAACATGTACTTGATTTTGGTTCATAAGACTGATTTTTGATTCGTTGCAATCATGTCTCTTTCCTACTAAAATTCACTCATGTGTTTCCCAAAAAATACTATACAACAAAAAACTATACACCCATTACATTATCAAATTTCATACCTCATCTTCCTCCGGCCAAATGGCCGGGGCCACGCTAGTATATATATATATATATATATGGTGACTACTTCGGTGCACTCACAAAAATGAGTGCGTTCAATGCACCCAACTCAAAAACTAGTCTTAAGGTGTCGGATTTTGAATTTTAATTTGTAGAATTAGTGTAATATGATGATATAACATATGATAACAACTAATTAGTGCATTACCCTAAGCACTAGACCTCCAATTTTGAGTTATATCCCTAAACCCTAAATTGTAAACCCTAACCCTAACCTTAAATCTCTAACTCTAAATCCTTCAAATTAAAGTAAATCTTCAATAGTTTTTGTGCAAATTCATGTGCGTTATTGTTCATCACATCATAAGTGATGATGGACATAATTTTGACATAAATAGCATGTTTAAAATGATGGTTATGAAGTGAGTGCACTGAATGCACCCAAAAAAGTGAGTGCACCGAAGACGCCACCATATCTATATATATATATATATATATGAGTATCTTTTTATCCAAAAATTACCTGTGTATGACACCTCTTAACCCCCCTATGATGAGAGGGTGATGATAGTGCACCTTAATCTCTGTTTATTAGATCTATGGGATTGGGTCAATTCCTTTTTATTGCAAGGAAGCATTTTTTTCACTTAGTAGTTAACTATTTTATTTGAGGAAAAATTTCATGATCAATTATTTATTCTTTTCTCCGACCATGATATTATATTTCTGAAGATAAGTTGACTTACAATCTGTATAAGACATACATTATGAGCCTCGTAACATAACAAGATAATTTTATGGTGTAGTTGCTAAAAACAATTATCTACATTTCTAATCAAACTATATAAAAATGAAAATTTGGATTTTTTTTGTTTTAAAATTTGAATTCCAAATTAAAATAACTAAAATATGATGATTATTAAAAGTGTGCCTAACTATGGGTTTGCCAAATGAACAATTACACCTTATCATATGAGTTTTGGACCTTTTGGTGAAAAATGACACTTCTATGGAGCGAAAAATCATACTTTCATTTCATCTACAAATCCTCAATAGTAGTCAATTCTCTTATCAAGGTTAATACCATGATTTGCCCGCTTTTATCATTGCATTTTTCAAAATTGTCACTCAACTATTTTTATAATTACAAATGTTATCTCCTGCCTATGTTACATTTTCTATAAAAAAATCTTTGAATCTTGATCAAATTATAATTTGGCCAACGTGAAATGATCTTAGAGTGCTATTCCGTTCCACCTACAAGGCCACAGATGCAGAGTGCTATTCTTATTAGATATCAATAAATCTAAAGCAGGCTCGTGTAGTCTTAGTCTGATAGAGCTGCGTTTGATGTTGAAGTGGCAAGAAAGGAAGGCACATCTACTTACAAGTAAAGCGGCCATTCCTTTCTTTGGTTCTCTGATCACCGCCGTGCAACACACTTAAACATTCCATCATCAATCTAGGACGAGAAAAAGCAGAGCATAACGAAAAAGGACACTTTCCAAGGAAAGGTTAAGAATCAAATACCAACCCTGAACTCCCCCTCGATCATGTGTGTTGTAATAAAAGCCAAGAATCTTGCATCTATTTCGTCTTCCTTTGAGGGCACCCTTTCTCGTTGATTGTCAAACAAAAAATGGACTTAGGGAATCTGACATTGTAGTTCCTTGTGGACAGGGGAGGTCTCTCATGGCGGCAAGCTCTCATGAACAAAGAATCATTCGTATATCTCATTGAAAGGGTTAACCCTTTTCACGACACCATTTGAGTTACAAAAACAAATTGTGCCAGAGCTTATCAATCATCGGCTCGTGCCTTTTCTACAAATGGCATTCGCTCTCCTGCACAATTCGCCCACCACTTCACCATTGACATTTATGGGTTCCTCACACAGCAACTCTCCAAGGCTCAAGCTCCTCTTCCTCTTCTTCTTCCTGTGTTTTCTTTCCCCCAATGGTATGCATTTTCCTCGGATTTCTATGGAGGAACCACAACTAGTGGTACATTGCATCTCACTCTTAGACCGTCTAGAGTAATGAGGTGGTTTCGTATTAACGATCTGCATCGATTCATTGTCTTCACATCATTTTAACTTTAACAATATGTGGAATCATCATGATCTACCTCAAACTAGTCTGTTAAATTGTAGTGTTTCATGATTGGTCCATTTATAATCTACAAAATTCATCATACCATACGTCCTAATAATGGCCCAACTGTGACAAGTTCGGCCCATTTTTCTTTTAGGTCTCATGTTCTTACTATCGTATTTCGTAGGTTTGCAATGAATAGGGAACATGGGTTTAGTCGTTTTCTAATGATATGAACATACCAACTTTTGTCGATTTAATCCTTTCTTTCACATTTGTGATATGGCATTGTATAAAAATCAATTATAACAATTAATTTACATATGTAGAAATAAGTCCGATATAAAATTATTTTTTACCAATACTTCAAAACTGTGTTTGTCATGATATTTTGCAACACTAATAGCCATTTCATTTTGATTTTGGTTCGTACTTGTAGATTTCTCGGCCGATGCGTTTACGGGAACATACGGAGTGAACTACGGCAGGATCGCCGACAACCTACCATCACCCCACAGCGTCGTCACCCTCCTCAAAGCCGCCAAGATCAAGAACGTCAGAATCTACGACGCCGACCACCAGGTCCTCGACGCCTTCAAAGGCTCCGGCCTCGAGCTAATCGTCGGCCTGGGAAACGAATTCCTCAAAGACATCAGCCTCGGCGAGGACCGCGCCATGAACTGGATCAAAGAAAACGTCGAGCCTTACCTCCCCGGCACCAAAATCGTCGGGATCGCCGTCGGAAACGAAATCCTCGGCGGCACGGACATCGAGCTCTGGGAAGCCTTACTCCCTTCCGTCAAAAACGTCTACGCCGCCCTCCAACGCCTCAACCTCCACAAGAAGATCGAGCTCTCCAGCCCTAATTCCGAAGCCGTCTTCGCCAATTCGTTCCCTCCTTCCGCCTGCATATTCCGACCCGACATCGCGGTGTTCATGGTTCCATTACTCCAATTCTTCTCCCAAATTGGATCCCCATTCTACATCAACGCGTACCCATTCTTAGCCTACAAGAGCGACCCAGAGCACATCGACCTCAATTACGCAATTTTCCAGCCCAATTCGGGGATCTTCGACGCCAAGACGAATCTCCACTACGACAACATGTTCGACGCCCAGGTGGATGCGGCCTACGCCGCGCTGGAGAAGGCCGGGTTCGAGAAGATGGAGGTGATCGTTTCTGAAACAGGGTGGGCTTCTAGAGGCGATGAGAACGAAGCTGGAGCCTCGTTGCAGAATGCCAAGACCTACAATCGGAACTTGAAGAAGAGGCTGGCGAAGAAGAAAGGCACGCCGTACAAGCCCAAGGAACCGGTGAGGGCTTATGTGTTTGCTCTGTTCAACGAGAATTTGAAGCCGGGGCCGACGTCGGAGAGGAATTTCGGATTGTTCAAACCTGATGGGAGCATTTCTTATGATGTTGGGTTCACTGGGTTGAGGGATTCGTCCGGTGTTGGGATTCTTCAGGGGCTAGTTTCTAGGTGTTTATGCTCTTTGGTTCTTGCAATTGTGCTGCTGAATTCTGTTTGGTAGTGCGCATTATCAGAAATTGTGTTTGGTAACTGAGTGAAATGAATGAGGTTGATTAAATATTGTAGATCAAGGCAAGGCTTCCATAATTATTGACATTGTACAGTCGATTCAGTTAATCATTGGACTTCTTTAGTAACTTCTTTTGTCTATAGGTTTTTACCGCCACTTCCTTTTTAAGGGTTGTGAATCTCACAACCCCATAGGATGGGGAAGTGACCGTATCCCGCCCCAGTTTTTACCTTACAATGTCCAGTTCAAGGCGACCACTCAGATAATTAGAAAGACTGTGATATAACTCGATATCTCCGGGTCAATTGATTAAGACAATAATTAGAAAAATCAAACATATTAGTTATACAAGGATTTTATACGCTTAAAACTTTTATGTTTCACAATATCATCGAACTAACTCATTTTTGTCCGTTTGGTTGATACTTTATGTACTAAAACTAATCCAACAGTCTATATAATTTGATTCAGTTCCAATCTAGGTTATTTGAGAATGAGATCGCCATAAATCTTGTATATGTCCTTGATAACTGACTAGAGAGTTTATATTGCATTATTTTACTACCACTTTAATGAAAGGCAAAATACACCTGTGTAGTCAAAATTTTGTCGGTTTGGCCAAATATAGCCACGTTTGGCGAAATATCAAAAATAGCCACTTTCGTCCAATTGTTGGACGGTGTTAGTTAACGTGCTGACTGGACTAACGGAAAGACTGACGTGGCAAAATTTTGTAAGTAACAATGCCACGTGGATTTAACTTTAAAATATAAAAAATAATAGGCAAAATACACCTGTATAGCCATTACTTTCACACTTTTGACAAATATAGCCATTTCTATTTGAAAACCACAAATAGCCAATTCCGTCCATTTTGGTAACGGTGTTCGTAGACGTTATGACTGTACTAACGGCTTGCGCTGAGTTGGCCACTGAGTTACCCCACCTTCCGACGAGGAAATCAGACGTGGAAAATAAAATAAAATAAAATAAAGATGAAAGTGACCTAGCTGCCCACCACCACTCGTGACTCGTCCATTCTTTCTTATCCCTACGTTTTTCTTTCCCCCTTCACCTCTCTTCCTCCGACCACGAGACTGACGACGACCGATTTCGCCCCCCTTTTCCGATCTTCCTCCGATAACCCCCTTCCAGCTTCCGTTCATCGCCCTAATCCTCTATAAATCCTCATCCCAACCCCGAAAACTTCAGCTTTTATCATCCCCGATTTCGCGTCCCTTCCAATGACGAACTCTAGCATGCATCATGACTAATCCACCGGCGGCCACCGTTTCCCGACGCAACCCAAGCATCCTAGTAATGAAGAACGCATCGACGAAGCATAGGTAAGTCTTTTCTCGCCGATTCTCCAAAACCCTAATTTCACATTCTGGCGCGATTGGTTTTCACATTCTGGCACGATTGGTGAGTTTTTCAGAGAGATGTTGGTTGGGGGTTCCGATTATGGGTAGGATGATGGGGATTTCGCTACAAATCGAGAAGATGATGGGGATTTCGAAACGACAGATGCGCGAGCAGAAAAGGACTGAATGACAGCGGTGGTGGTCTCGAGCGGCGACGACGTGGTCTCGAGCGGCGTCGTCGTCTCCACCTGGTGCGAACCCTAAATCGCGAGAATTTGTTTTTCGGGTTGTAGGGAAGGAGAAGGGGGGTAAGTAAGCAGATATAACATTTTTTTTCTACACGTGGCATTCCACGTGTACATTTTGCTGAAGTGTCAATCATGTGGAGGTCGGATTCCTTCCTCGTTAGCATTCCGTCAAACGAGTTAATGGAATCGCAGACGGTGTTAAAGTTTCTAACGTTTTTGGCTAGATTTGTCATACTACCCTCCGTTTTTTGGGCTATTTGTGGTTTTCGAATAGAAATGACTATATTTGTCAAAAGTGTGAAAATTATGGCTATACAGGTGTATTTTGCCAAAATAATATGAAAATGAAAAGTCTCCCTCTCTCCCTCATTTTCTCCGGTCCAATCTTCCCCCACTTATCCATCTTTCTTCGTGTTCTTCCCTTCGAACTGATTCCCTCTTGCCCAATGGGTCTTTCTGGGTTGGAGAGAATTACTTCTGGGTAGAGGTTTTTTTTTGCCTTGAATGGGTTAGATTTCGTTCTTCTTCTCCTTGTCTTCTTCTCCGCACAATGGACGAATGGTGAGATGTTCTCTAAGCTGGGAAAAGCACAGTGAATGGAATTTCAATTTTCCCACTGCGATAACGACCAGATCGCCAGAGAAGAAGGCAACGTAGAGATATGTGAAGAAATTGAAGCATTTGGGCGAACATCAGATCTTGTAGGCGGCGATCCACGTGCTCGGCGGCGGCAAAGGCGTAGTCGTCGAAGCTGAGGTCAAGGGGCCAGATCCCGGTGTCGAGGGCGCCGATGATGACGCCGTCGTCGTTGGCGGAGTTGAGGGAGTGAGGGGAAGAGGGGGAGAGGCCGAGGAAGGAAGGAGGGTGAGTGGTATGGAAGTGGCGGATCTGGTTGGGGACGACGGAGAGATCCCGGAGTGCGGAGGAGGCGGAAGGCTTGGTTGGCGGTCAGGGAGGTGGAGAAGCCAGCGGCACTGTGGGGGTAGGTGTAGAGGAAGGCGGAGAGGATATTGGAGAAAGGGGGATTTGGGCGGTGATTTGGGGGTCGCCGGATTTTGGGAGCGACATATATTCAGGGTAGCAGCGGATTTGGGAGCGGTGATTTGGGTGGCAGCGAATTTGGGGAGCGACGAATTTGGGCGGCGGCTGTAACTTTCCTCCGCCGCTTGGCATCGCTGTCGTTTGTAGCACTATGCCAAATCGAGATCCACAAATCAGATCGAGCTCCAACATCTTTCCTGTCTTCCTGCTTCCTGTCCTCAACAACTTGGGTCGTCGTCGTTCCGTAGGCTACTTTGCAGTGGAGACCGCCGACGGAAGGAAGGAATGAAGGAAGAAGACGAAGGGGATGGTTTTCCACTAGTCTATTTTATTATTATTTTTTACATTAAAATATGACATGGCATCCATGTGGCAAGTATTGTTGAGTTGTCAATGATGTGGCCGGTGAGTTGGCAGCCAGGTAAGGATTTCTTTAATTTGATTAACAACGTCACTAATGACGTTAAAATATGTAATGGAAATGGCTATATATGTCATGAAACTTTCAAAATTCTGATTATATTTGGCATTTTGCCAAAAATGACTATTATTGTCACAAACGTGAAAATTTGGCTACACAGATGAATTTTGCCTTAATGAAATTACACACTGGTCTAGACCATTTAGACAAAACTTCTTGAAGAAGTAATTGTTATGTTAACCATTCCAAATTATGTGGATGGGTTGGTTAAAAGTCAAAGTTTAGCATCTGATTTGCTAGTGTTCCCAAAATTCAGTGACCATTTATGTAAGTGGGAAAATTGATTTTATGGGTAGCCGATTAATGGTTGTTGGAGTTATACTAACGTACGCCCCTGTTCCATGCAAAGATGAAGGGGGGAATACAAGACGATCCCGTCGGAGAATGAGAGCTAGGACTTCTCTTCTTGAGATGTCGGCCAATACAAGACGATCCCAGCGGTGGTTACTTTTTTCCCGGGCGATGAGAGGTTCAATTTTGATCGGGTAAAGGGCGTTTACTATGTGCCAGGGGTTTCTCCTCAATGTGGGGTTGTAAGTGTAGTAAGAGCATTAAAGTAAATGTAACTTAGTTAGGGCGATGAATAAATAATTTTAGATCGACGAATAGCAATACCCAATAAGTAATGGGAATTGGGAATAATAACATAAAAAGAAGGGTAAATACAATTTAATAGCCAACCCTTTCATTTTAAACAAAATAATAGGCAAATCTTTTCAAAAAAAAAAAAAAGTCAAACCGTTAAATTTCCTTCCGGTCAACTGTTAGTTGACTCTGACATGACAAATATGTGTACACATCATTCTATATTTATTTTTCTTTATTATTTTTAATTGAAATAAAAATATGTATTATTAATAATATAAATAATTAAAATATAATAATGGGAAAGAAAAACAAAAATCGCCAACCCTAACCATTAGACCTGGCAATCGGGTCGGGTTGGGTAATTTCGGGTCGAGACTTTCGGTTACTGGTCGGGTCGTGTTTGCTAGGCTACTTTCGGGTTAAATATTGACCCAACCCATTCGGTTTCGGGTCGGGTTACAGGTCGTTTCGGGTTATTAGCGTTCTCAGAAACAATATCAAGCATGCTTCATATTTTCTTCAAGAACACAAATTTTCACAAATGCATGACAACGGTTTACCTAACACATGTCCATTAACATATTCTCAAATCTTCCCATGCTAATTAAATGAAATACAAATTACACAAATCGTCAAAAAACAATCACAAGAGTAATGTTATTACCAGAAACACATGATATTTGATTATCCTTAAGCTCCAAACATATGTCATTCAAATCCATCTGAATTTATTTAAATATCTCACCAATTTAAGAGTGGTTTTATCATTTTGGGAGTGATATATAAAGTGGAGCGGGTCTAACTGGTCGACCCGCTAACCCACCCAACCCGACCCAAAAAATTGCGGGTTATCGGGTTCGGGTCATTCGGGTTTTGGGTTATTAAAACTTCTACTTTTCAGGCGGATTCGGGTCGGGTCAATGGGTCGGGTTGTAATTTGCCAGGTCTACTAACCATGAAAAAGAAAAAGAAAAAAAAATCCCCAATGCAATTGCGTCTCCCTGCTTCCTCATCCACAACTATAGGTGTCAATCGGGCGGGTTCGGGTCGGGTTCAGTCGGATCGCGGGTTAATCGGGTTGCGGGTCAAATGGGTTGCGGGTCAAGCGGGTTCGGGTTGTGGGTTGATCGGGTTCGGGTTGATCGGGTTGCGGATCATTCAGGTTACGGGTTGATCGGGTTGCGGATCAATCGGGTTTGCGTTGATCGGATTGCGGGTTACAACAGGTCGGGTTGCAGGTTGTTCGGTCCACTCCATCGAGTTTTTTTGTAATTAGTTATTACACTATTTTTTTTTACGGAGTTATTACACTAATTTAAAACAAACTCGTCGGTCACCATATTGCAATGAATAAAACATGAATGTACATTATTAAACAAATGAATGACTAGATTTTGCTTGAATATATCATAAACAAGTTTGATGTTGCTAGTTGTTGGTACCTTGTAGAGGATTCATTAAGGTTACAGAACCAACATAAATAAATAGTTGAACAACAAGAAATTAAAAAGCTGACAAATAATTGATCATAAACCTATGAAACCATCTCTTGTCTTGATAGTTGAGAGTTTAGACTGTACATGGGCGCTGGGCCGTGCTTGGGCCGGCACGGCAAGGGCCCATCTCGTGCCCATATTTTTCGTGTCGTGCTAGGCACATCCCATTAAATTTTGTGTCGTGCCATACAAGCCCATTTAACAGTTTTATTAGGCCCGGGCCCAAGCACGAGTCAAGCTGTGCCGTGCCTGATCATGTCTATGTCGTGCTTTTATTTTGTTCACATTCGTGCTTATTCGTGCTTTATAGTATAATTTAACTTTCATTCTTATTTTATATGGTAACACACGCTTTTAATGTTCCTTACTCAACTTCATCTACAAATTATTAACTTCATGTAACTGTAATTAAATACTAATATCTAGCACTGCATTTTCGCGTAGCTAATTATAAACCGCTAGTCATATATCCACTATACATATATTAACATGCAAATTGAAAACACGAACTCTTTGTAACATGAGATTCTAACATTAATATGAATACAACCGATACAAATATCATTTCTGGATCAGTGGTAAATAACATACAATTTAAAAAAAAACTCATTGTTGTATGATGAAACTCAACCTAATGAGAGATAACATTTTCTTTATCTGTAACTATAGTTTCCAGGTCTGCCTTTTCTTCATCGATTCCATAATTTTGCTTCCAATTGTCCGCTCAAAGCATTTAAGACCTTCAAGCCTTTCCCACCCTAGAAACATAATTCAAAGGAGTTCAAAGTTACTACTCTCTCTAGCAAACTCAACTGCTGAAGCAATCGGAAATAAATAAACCATATACAAAGCACTACGAACACTTGTTCAGTCCCAAGAAGTCATGACAAAACAGAGTAGAAGCACATCATAATAGCTCAACTAAAAACAACTTCATAGAAGCTCACAACCCTCAAACTTCATCCTCACCAGTTACAACTATCCAAACCAAGCAATAAATGTATGGCGTAAGTGATTCCTGCAATTTCTTGTACAACCACCTACCTACCTTATATAATTAATCAATTGCAACAACTTAGTAGTACAGGACAGGACTTGCCTCTACTGCCATATGAGGAATTGTAGAAAAGACTAAAATTTCCAGCACCAGTCTCCAAGCTGAACCTGGATCACAACAAGGTTAAGTTAGGACATATACTGGACACTCAAAGTTCAATTAGAACACACATTAACCTACTGCTTCTGCTGCTGGTTGTTCTTGTGCTGCAGTTGATGCTTGCCATTTCCTCTACATGAGTACACCACACTATAAACAATTAACATCATACCACATCAGTTGGGTTCAAGTACTAACATCATACCCTGCATTTCAATTGTACTAATGAAGAAAATATTTCCAAACGAAGCCATTACAAGAAGAGCTCCCACTAATTGATGTAGAATAGAATGAACTTTCTGATATCCATGAGTAGAAAATAAATACGAGACCCATAAGGTCACCATTGTCTACCACCAACAATTGAGGGATGAAGCCAACGACATGGGATCTGAGCTAGGCAACACCACTTTGGAAAAATGTTGTAGCAAAGGATGGAGGAGGAATGAAGAAACTCGCAAGCCTGGCCAATTGATGTTGCCGGAAGAAAAAGAGAGGATGGTGTTGAGGTTAGGGTTGCGGACGGCGGAAGAGAAGATGACAGTGGAGGCGCGATAGCGGTGGAGAGACAGAGGAAAGTGTTTTAACCATTTTGAAGCAGACATAGATTTCTGAATGGGTATCCATTGATTCGAGCAAATAGAGGATTGAAGAATATATCCAGATATGCCGCCACCGCCTCAGTCCAATTGGTCGTCGTTGGTTAGGGAAACTGGGCCGAGGCCCCATATTTCTCCTTTCCCATGATCGCATTTCTTCAATCGCGCAATGTACTCTATCAAGCAAGAATATAGATGTTTTCAGGGAGTGATGGTTGTGGTGGTGGATTTAGAATTAGGGTTTGTTTTCTGGAAAATGGGAGGGAGGGGAAGAACAGAGTGGGAACGGCTTGTGGTATGAAGACTCGGAGAGATAAGGATTAGAATTTAGGAAGGAAAGATGGAACCATAAAGAAAAGAGGGGGAAATTTTGGAGCCAGATAAGAGTTAGTTCTTCTCAAAATAATTGGGAATGGCGGGTTGATTTTTGCTGTTGGCGGGATTTTTTAGACAAAGCAAATTTTAGGAGCAAAGCAATTTTAGGAGCCAAATCAAATTTTTGAGTGAAAGGAAATTCTCCCTCCTAAATTTTTGGAAGAATATTTTGTAAAAGGTAAATTGACAGATTATTTACGGGAATTAACCGTGACTAACAATTGGTCATTTAAATTGTACAAATCTTTCACGTTTGGACCAAATTTTGGGGGTTAAAAATGATTGTTTCCTCAAATATTTGGGGTTTATAAAATCAAATTAAGATGTACATTTGAATATGATATATTTAAGATGTACATTCACAAGTTAAATTAATTGTTAAAATTAAATTAATTAATAAACTATAAAAAAACAAAATATCTATCACAAAGCATAACCATGAAGAAACCCTAACCCTATAACACCATTTTAAATCTGAAACCTAAAACTAACCTTAACCATCAACCATACATTATCCTAAATCACAACATTAAGTAATTAACCCTAAAACTAACCTCAACCCTTAACCATAATTCCATAACCCAAACATGCAAACAATGAACTCTAAACCATGACCCTATAAGGCTATACCCTATACTATAGTTATATGTTATGAAATTGTTGGAATAAGCTACAACGTATGTTATGTGAAGAATGTAAGTTGAGTCAATTTTATATTCGGTTATTGAGAAGAACATATGTCCTATTACTCCAAACTCTAAACCACGAGTCCACTACCGTATACCCTATGCACTAACCTTAAACCATGAACTATAGTTATGTATTATGAAATAGTTGGGTATTGAGAAGAACATATGTCCTACGACTCCAAACGTTTAATATCCGTATTTAATGAAATGAATTATTAACTTTACTATTTTTACATATTGATTTATTTATAAAAGTAATTAGTTTTATATATTTATAACTATTAACGTACTATTAAATGTAACATTACCTAAGAGACGAAGTATAATACCCGTAAGTATTTTATACGTAACTTTCCCGTACCATATTTTACTAACTATGTTATACATTAAGTGAATTTTATGTATTATTAACTTTACTATTTTTACATATTGATTTATTTATAAAAGTAATTAATTTTATATATTTATTACTATTAACGTACTATTAAACGTAGTATTACCTAAGAGACGAAGTATAATACCCGTAAGTATTTTATACATAACTTTCTCGTACCATATTTTACTAACTATGTTATACATTAAGTGAATTTTATGTATAAGTTGACATACAAAAACATTAAGTGAATTTTATGTATAAGTTGACATACAAAAACATGTTAAAAAATATGTCTCTACTGGGCTTTGAACCGTGCCCCTTAGATGGGAAAGACCAGCACATAAGCCAACTAGTCCACATAATTGATTTGTTACAATTTGAACTTGTTGTTTATTTGATTCAACTAAAAGGCAGAGAGACCAGAAAGTATTATGTGATTCAAATTTTTTTTTTTTGGTGAAAAAGCGGACGCTAGGGGCGCCCTAACCCATAACATTCACTATTCGGGCCTCTTGGATCCCGATAACATCATGGTTTAACCAAAAATACAAAAATGGCTCCGTATGATCGTAGTGGGAGCTTCCTACAGGGATCGAATATCCCTTGTTAGCAACAAAATCAGCTACATGGTTCTGCTCTCTGTAGACGTGTCTGATTTTGACCTCACCGAACGTGTCCATCAGGTTCTGAAACTGACGGATAATAGGGCCATGCCTATGCCCATTGTCGATCCGATTCTGAGGAACTTGCACCGCTGCCAGGGAGTCCATTTAAACCTCAACTCTGTTGGCTCCCAAACATCGTGCTAGCACCAGTCCCTCAAGCGCTCCCCTGAGCTCGGCCACCATAATCGTGCATTGGCCATAATTCGACATGAAGGTCCCCAGGTTTCTTCCACTCCTGTCTCTCGCAATTCCCCCCGCTGCCGCCATCGACCCTGGGTTGTGTACTGACCCGTCTGTGTTGATGGTGATCCATCCATCCGCTGCCGGTTGCCATTTCAGCATCACTTCCCTCCTCGTCGTCGGTTGTCGAAGGCCGATCTGCTCGTCACTTTGCAGCGCCCTCTCCACTGCCTCGGTCCAGTAGCGCACACGAGCAATCAAAGCTGGCTGGTCTGTTTGTTTCCCTGCAAAAACAAAGTCATTACAACACTTCCATATAAGCCAACAGCCCAGACCAAACACAAGAGAGTAGTTGTTGTCCCTTAGGTACTCCTCCATCCAATCTTGTTGTGGCAGTGAGAAGAATCTCTGCTGCTTCTCCCTAGGGATCAGCTCCTTCCACGTTGCAGCTGCCATAGCACAATCCCTTAGCACATGTAGCACGTCTTCACCCTTCGACGGACATCTAATACATTCGCTATTGTTGGCAAGCCTACGCCTCTTGCGCTCCTCATTCGTCATGATCTTACTCTAATATGCAAGCCAGAGAAAATGCCGAACACGACTAGGGCCATCCCATTTCCATATCACTTTCCAGCATCGTTGCTTCTCCTCCTCTTCAAACCCAGCAGCAAGCGCATAAGCTGACTTGAGGCGGAAGCGGCCATCTTCCTCCAGCGCCCAGATAGTGCGATCGTCTCCACTCTCCCTACACGGGTGGAGTAATACCAGCAATTTGTGTCCGCATTTCGTGAGTTATCATGTGCTCAAACTTGCTCCAGTCCCACCCGCCATTCTCATCAACCATATCAGCCACAGAGATACTCTCGTCCATATGATCTGCTTCTTCAGGGAGCAAGTCCTTAAGAGCTATGCCACTATCCAACCATTTGTCTCCCCAAAAGCTTGTATCCTGACCACTCCTAATGCTCCAGGCTGTCCCATGCATCACTAGCGGCCAAACTTCTTGCATAGCGCGCCATAACGGAGATCTCCTCTTCCCTTTAAGCTGCTGCAAATTCCCTTCTCTGACTTTAAAATATTTATGTTGCATAACTTGGACCCATGGCTCCTCTGGCGAGTTGAGGAAAATCCATGCCAGCTTCATAAGGTACGCTTTGTTGAGCTCCCGAGCTGAACGAAGGCCTAGCCCTCCCAGATTTTTTGGCTTGCAAATATGCTCCCAAGATATCAAATGTGTCTTCTTCTTCCCATCCCTTGCTCCCCACACAAATTTTCGTATCAACCTGTCAATGGTCTCACAGACCAAGGCAGGTAATTTTGCTGTTTGCATCACGTAGGTCGGTATAGCATTTAGGACCGAGAGGGCGAGAGTGACTCTCCCAGCCAAAGACAAGTTCTTCATCTTCCAGCTAGAGAGCTTCTTCTCAATCTTCTCAATCACCTGCTTATAAGTCTCTCTCGTTATTCTGCCATGGAGTACAGGGAATCCTAAGTAGTTGCCAAGGTTTGTAGTAGCTTGGATTCCCATCCCCCTCACAACCTCGGCAGACACACTTCTATTCGTGTTAGGCGAGAAGAAGAGCTTGGACTTTTCGTAACTCACTAGCTCTCCCGATGCTTTACAGAACAACGAGAGTGCATCGGTCATGGTTTGCCCCTGCGCTTTCGTTGCCTCCCCAAACAGAATCAGATCATCTGCGAAAAAAAGGTGAGAAAGCTCAGGACCTTCCTTCGAGATTTTGAATGGCTTCCATCTACCTTCTCTAACTTTACTTGTGATAATATGACTAAGCCGTTCTATACAGAGCGTAAAGATGTAAGGTGATACAGGGAATCCCTGTCTTAGTCCCCGGGAAGGCACAAATTTGGCTGTGCAGGCTCCATTCCACAATAGTTGCATCGACGTTGTTGTCACACATCCCATCACTACACGAATGAACTCCTGGGGAAGGCCAGCCTGTTGGAGCGTATCTTCAATGAAGTGCCAACATACACGATCCTATGCCTTGGCTAGGTCCACCTTGAGGATCATGTGCCCCTTGGTCCCTTTCTTCTGCTCCATCTAGTGAACAATCTCCTGCAAAATAATTATATTACTGGTTATGTGACGACCTAGAACAAAGCTAGTTTGGGAGGGGTGAACCAGTTTGTGCATAAATCCTTTCAGTCTATTAGCCAGACATTTAGCTATCGCCCTATAATCCACATTGCATAGGCTGATAGGTCTAAACTGGCTAATAGTTTCAGGATGGGCCACCTTGGGAATCAGGGTGATAAGAGTCTCGTTAATGTACTGAAAATTAGCCGGATTGTGAAAGCATGAAATAGCAAAAGATAAAAGATCCTTCCCTATCTTGTGCCAGCATTTTTGGAAGAACACCGCTTGATACCCATTCTTCCCCAGTGCCTTCAGCCCTGCCATGTATTTCACAGCTTGTAGCAGTTCCTCCTCTGTCAATTCCTTGGTAAGCATCTCCAACTCATGTCTCTCCATCTCTGGGAAGTGTCCCTGAATGCTATCATGGCTATGCACCTCCTCCGCATACAGGTTCATATGAAAGTCTCTCACAAGATTTTGTAGTTGGCTAGGATCCGAAACCCATAGTCCCTCTGCATCTCTGAGACATTTAATTATGTTTCTCTGTCGTCTGGATAATGTGGAGAGGTGAAAGTAACGGGTATTTTGATCCCCAAAAACAGTCCATTTTGTTCTTGACTTCTGAATCCAAAGGACATCCTCCTCCCACAAAGTCTCTTCCAGACGCGTTCGGACTTCATCCTCCTCCTGAACTATTCGGTCCGAGGGTTGCTGGTGGTTCAACATCTCCAGTTTAGAGAGGCGGGAACGTAGCTCCTTCTTCCTCTGAAAGATGTTTCCAAACACTTCTTTGTTCCACGCTTTTAGCTTCACAGTCAGCTCCTGCAAGGAAAAAGGTACCCCACTTGCGGCTTGCAGGCTCGATCAAGCACATTCGGGAAGTCGACATGGGAAAGCCAAGGAGCAAGAAAGCGAAAAGGACGTACCTGATTCATCGACGGGCACCCTGACTTCACATCAACCAATATTGGTCTATGGTCTGATTTTAGCCGATGCAGGTGATGATTAGTAGTTTCCGGGAACACTTGCATCCATGTTGTATTGCATAGTGCGCGATCAAGCCTTTCTTTCAACGCCATTCTCGTCGTGAACCAAGTAAATTTCAGTCCCACAAAACCCACGTCAATGAGACTACAGGATGAGATAAAATTGTTGAACCCCCTGGTCTTGGTCGGGTTAAACGCCGCACCACCCTGTTTCTCTGACGGGTGAGATATTGAGTTGAAATCGCCCAGCACCAGCAAAGGCTCATGAATTGTTCTTCCAATCCGAGTCAACTCCTCCCAGAGACTTTGGCGTTCATATTCGTTAGTACTGCCATAAACGGCCATATAAAACCCTTCATGATTCCTCCATCTTTCCAGCACATATGGACAAATTGCCTATGTATGATTTTCTCTTCCATATGTATGCTCCCTTTTTGCCATAGTACCCAAATTCCCCTTGAGAATCCTTCTGCCTCAGAAATGGCCTGTGAATCAAACCCCAACTTGCATATAACATCCTTTGCGTCTTTACCTTTAATTCGAGGTTCAATAATGATCGCCACAACTGGTTTGTTATCCATTTTGTAATCTAAGAAAGTAGACGTGAATTTTGGGTGTCGAGCACCTCTACAGTTCCAAGAAAAACAGACCCCCAAACCAGCAGCCCATGGCGCCATTAACCTTCTACAATAGCTGATGGAAGCTTGCTACTATCTTGTCCGTCCGAAAGTTCCGGGGAGGAAGTCTGATCCTCTCCCATCGGCACGTCCTCTCGGGTTTTGTTCGAGCCTTTCAAGAACACCGCCATCTTCTGCTGAGATTGCGCCAAAAACTCTTCGATCGCCTGCTGCGTGATTGGGGATGAAGAAGCCATCACTCTCTCTTTGAGATCACGTTTCAGTTTGGGATTGCCTTTGATTGTTTTCTTCACCCCAATTTTGAGATTGATTCCATTCTTCACGTCCCCTGCACCTTTCTGACCAGAACTTTTATTGCGCTGTCGATGCTTAATGGAGGGAGCAGATTGGGACGTATCGGTCGGGTTCCTTATCCGCATGTCTATATTGTATTCTTGGTCCACGACTGTTGGGCTTCCCACCTCTTGTCCCTCTTTAGTGCGATCCTCTTTTTGGACCTCCTTCGATTTACCAGGACCATTGCTATTTTGGGCTTTGGAGGATGTTTCCCCCTGCTTTGGCCCAACTGGCCTCCATTCAAGGAGCCCTGCTTGGTTCTTTCCCCCCTTTGTTCCTTCTGTGCCACCACCCTTCACTTTCCCCTTCAGTTTGTCATTCCCTTCCTTTCTTTGCTCTATTCCCATAGCCTTTCCTTTTCCTTCCCTATTACTCGTTACCAGCTCACCTTTCCCGGAATGGCTATTCTTTGCCACGATTCTCTCGAAGTTTCCCCCAATGCCTAGTTGATTTGTTACCGTTTGGGCTTGATTGTTGGCTGGTTTCTGATTCGGTTTCCGTGCCACAAGCATCCACGGCCCGTAGCCGGCTGGAGGCTCAGATGATTGTTGCGGTGGCCGGAATTCCAACGTTTCACCCACCACCACCGTCGACGGGGATTTGCGCTCCCCTGCATCGGACAACTATCCTCATTCTGTCCGATTCTGCCGCATGTGAAACAGACTTGGGGCAAGTTCTCGTAAGTAACTTGCTGCCAGAACCCATCCAGCCGAATCCTGGTAGCCAAGGGCTTCGTCATGTCCAATTCAACGGCTAATCGAGCAAATTTCCCCCTTTCCAGATGTTCAGTATGATAGTCCAACTTGATGGTTCTCCCGATTAAGTTCCCCAAAGCAAACAATACTTCTCGATGGTAAAAATGGACAGGAAGTTCGGGAAATTGGATCCATGCGACCACCGATTTGAAGGGCTGGTCAGATGTTCTGAAACTCGGAGACCATTCATGAACGAGGAGGTAATGATCGAGGATTGTCCATGGACCTCCCGTTAGCGCATGAAGATAGTCCTGATCGTTGTTGAAGGTCACCAGAAAAGTCTGATTATTCAAATCCATGATGTCCAGATTGCCCACTGGTCTCCATTTCCACCGAAGTTGGGAGCACAAGTACGTGTAGGAGACTGAGCGACCTAAAAGACGGAGAACTAATGTCTTCTTCCATGGAAGGCATAACCTCTCCTTGAAACCAGGCGATATCTTTAGCTCAGGCTCACCATTGAAAACCCCGGCTTCCATGTCTTGAGTGCCCACAAACGTCCACATACTCCGCTTTGGCGATGCCGCACCCCCGGCACCTGCCAAAGCTGCCTTGTAACTTAGAGCTTGAGGGGTAGCCTCCTTCATCGGAGAACCCCCCTGATGCGCACTAGGAGAAGAGGTCAACGATGAAAACGAAGCGCTTGTAGAGTCCGGCGGCCGACCTGTCTGAGCCAGAGTCGTCAACGGAGAATGTTCGGAGAGATGCGTGTCAGAGAGCATTTTCGTTGGATTTCTCACTCTTTATCATACGATATCATTATGTGATTCAATTTACCGAGACATTGAGACTATTATGTGATTCAATTTAATGACAGTTGTCATTTGTCAACACAAAGTAAACCTTTGTTCTTGGTGGGAAAGATGAAAAAATAATAGGGCAAGTCAAGTAAACTTTATATATATTATTTACATATAATATTTATGCACAAAAATATATTATGTAGTATTATTCGTGCCAATCGGGCGGGTTCGGGTTGAGGTAATCGAGTTCGGGTTAGTCGGGTTACGGGTCAAGCGGGTTGCTGGTCAAGCGGGTTGCGGGTCAATCAGGTTCGGGTCAAGCAGGTTGCGAGTCAAACGGGTTGCGGGTTACGCGGGTTGCGGGTCAAGCGAATTGCGGGTCGGGCGGGTTGCGGATCTTTGACTTTTAGTCCAATCAAGTTGCGGGCGGGTCGCGAATCAGGTTGATTGGGCGGGTTACTCGGTTCGGGTCATGTTTTGACACCTATATCCACAGCTATGCCATCGTCTTCCGATTCCTCCTTCCATACAATGTGAAGGGTGTATCGATCGTTAGGGATTTGGGCCCAAAGGTAAACGTATTTAGGCGGTGGGAATTGAAGCTCCGGAGGTACACCGTTAATTAGAAGACGAAATTGAAGCCCAGACCAACGTCAGATTTAGGCTGGATCTCCTGCTTGCCCACATCTTCATTCTCCTGATCTCCTCTGAATCTCTAGGTCGAAGATGGTCTCCGTGAACAGTTCCATCTTGTCGAAAAAAATAGATCAAGAGAGGGACCGAGTGGTTCTGCTGCTGGTGTGTGCGTCGGTGGTTTCGGGATCCGCCTCTTCCTCTTCCGCTCTCTTCTCATTGTTTGAAACGTCGGGGTGAGGTCATCGTAAACTGTAGATTGGGGAGGATCAGGCAGAAAATCGAGAGGGTTGTAAACTGTAGTGATGAGTTTGGTTAATAGAAATTACATTATTTCATTTGTCCATTATAATATCTAGTTTTATTTTTCAGAAAAAAGAACGTGTTTTGTAAAATTATACATGTGGCTTCGTGAAATGTTTGACTTTGCCACATTAGCAAAAGAACATCCTAGTTCACTTAATTTTTGTCACGTCAGAGTCAATTGACGGTCAAACAAATTAAAAAATTGACGATATGACTATTTAATGATCAATTCGAAAAGTCCTCCTCTTCGTCTCCCTCCCCAGGGGTGGTAAACGGTCGGTATCGGTAGAACCGGATACCGATAAGCCGGTTACCGGTATACCGAAGTTGGGCAAACTACTGCCGACTACCGATACCGAGGGATTATCGGTTTACCGGATACCGAATCCACGGTTGCCAGTTAGTGCGCCGGTTACCCGTCTCCGTGTTGTTGCCTGCAGGTTGGAGAGAGATTCTTCGGCGCCAACTCCTTTTCTCAGGATTCGGATTTGGAGATCTAGAATCGAGGAAAGCCTCCGCGCGAGGGTGCAGTAGATTACGCCGGAGATTCAAATGGATCGGGAGTAATCCTGGACTGCAGGGCGACATGCAAGCTACGAGAGGAGTCTATGTTAGGAGATGTTGGGAATCGCCCTTTGGGTTCTCCACAACGGCGGCGACGATGGCGGTAGCAGAGGAGTGGAGAAAGGCGACGATGACGACGAACCCAGTACTTTCTCCTACCTGTAGCGATGACGAATCCAGATCTGGCGACGAATCGCCGGCGGTACATCAATCTGAACATGACAAATCAACGGCGGCAGTCCATATCAGTAAATCCTGTAAGAATGGGAGGGGATTCCATTCAGATGCTGGGGATTTCATTCAAGGTTGCATCTGTACAACAATGATTGATTTGGGGATGAAGTTTTGATTGAGAGAGTCAGAGAAGAGGGATTTTTTCTTGGGAGAGACAGAGAGAGTAGAGAGAGGAGGGAATAGCTTCTTGGCAGAGATGGAGGAGAGAGTCGGAGAGAGGAGGGAATAGGTGGGTCTCGGAGAAAGAGAGGAGAAATAGGGGTGGGGGCAATTATTCGGTATAATCGGCATATACCGATTACCGCCGGTTAATTGCCGAGTATGGGTCGGTATACCGCTGACAAAATTTCACCTACCGTATACCGATACCGTCGGTTAACGGTTTAACCGGTAACCGCCGGTTACCGGTACGGTTACCGGTTAAACCGTTAACCGTCTAACCGGTTACCACCCCTATCCCTCGCAATCGATTCTCTGGCGAGGAAATTGGGGGTGAAATTGCTGTGGGGGATTGTCAATTTTGTCCTAGGCAAGGTTGTCAAACCAGTTTATGCCAGTGTGCCGGTTTAGCAAGTGGAATGGTTCGACCAGTGGCATATACCGGTTTGTGCCGGTTCATGCCGGTGAATATTACAAATAAAATTATAAATACTCATATTTAAACATGACATTTAACGCCAATACCTAAACATTTATATTTGAATCCAACAAATAACATCAATATTTAACATTTATACTCATAAAATAAATAATAAAATAATATTTATCAATTAAATTTGCTAAAATAATGTCATTTTACTTAGAGATTCGTATATCGATCATGCCGGTCATACCGGTGGTGTCACGCCGGTTTTATGACCTATATCAGTTGAACCTGGTACAACCGGTGGCACGCCGGCCGGCATGACAACCATGGTCCTAGGGGTTTGCTTTGTGATGACGATCGTGATCACTAGAGTGGCGGCAAAAGAGAGAGAGAAGAGGAGCCGCGGCGGTGTGGTGGTGGAATGGTGGTGGAGTCGTCGGCGGGGATTAAGAGCGCGGCGTTGGCGGTGTTCGGAGTTTTGGGGCTGCCTCTGGTGGTGGCGTACAACATTCCGTTTGCGATGGCGTCGATCTACTCGCACGGATCTTGGGCCTGGTAGGGGCTTTCGCTGGGGGTGGTGAATCTGTCGATCTGTTTGCCACAAATGGTAATCTCGCTAGGGAGCGGGCCGTTCGACGCGGCGTTCGGCGGTGGGACCTTCCCGGCGTTCATTGTCGGGACAGTGGCGGCTTTTGTAGTGCAATCTGCACCGCTACTATGCTGCCGAAGCCGAAGGGTGCAGCGGGATGGTTTCGAGGTTGAGATCGTTGTGCAGCTTCAGTGGAGGCGGCGAAGTTGGGATTTTCGCGGGGTCGGAGCGAGAAGCTCTGTTTCCAGAGCAAAAAACTCCATCTCTGCGGCTCAGAGCTCTAGGATCAATTGGCTGGTATTCGGCCCTCGTCGGAATCAAAGCTGCCGGCGGAGATGGCAGAGTACGGGACCACGAGATCGGAGCACGGGATGGCGGGAGGAAATGAAATCGGTGTGTCGAACGGTTTGTTGTGACCGCCGGCAACGATAAGCCGGGAGCAGGGGCCTCAGACTCAATCGACGAACCGCCAGGGGAGACAAGGCAGACTGACAGTCTCTTGTGAATGCGGTACTGTCGATTACAATCACGAACGAAGTGGCAGTTACGCTTCTTGGCCGACGGTTCAGATAAGCACTCCCTTATCATTTATTTATTATTATTAATTATTTCTTTCCCTTAATAATTATCCTTCTTTCTTTCCAACTTTTTTAATTTTTCTTTCCAACTTTTTTAATTTTTCTCGTATGTATCTATTGCCTTCTTTTTAATATTATATACTTGCAAATTGTTAGGTCCCCGAATTTTAGGTTGTTTCCTTTTATTAACAAAAAAAAGAGGTTTAGGTTTGTAACGGGAGGTGCCGGTTATTTAGGGTTTTCCGATGACTGATTCTCTATTTCAAGGGCGTAATGCTGCCTTGTGTCTATGTTGACTTATTGGCTCTTTGGCTTGGATTGTCCTAGTAGGGGCCTTTGTTTGCTCATTTTGCAGGTGAAGATTCAATTGCACAATAGTCAATCGGTGGCGGCTGTCTTGTCCACTAGGTGGCCTTTTGATGAAAATTGATGGAGCACTTGGAAAATGACGCCCCTGATGTTGAAGGAACCCCTTGAACTCTATTAATGTTTAGTTTGATGGTGTGGTCAAGCATAGTCACGAAGGTAGTATTGGCTTTGTGGGTTCCAATCGTCAGGTAATATTATCTTTGCTTTCGGAAAGTGTTATGAAGGATTACAAGATCCATTTGTTTTACCGGAGGCCATACAGTGGTGTCTGACACATTCATTTGTCTTTGTCAAATTTCATGGGGATTCACAACAATTGATACGACAGGATGGTGGGAGGCGACTTGGCGCATGATCGGGGTGGAGCTCTACTAGGAATGCTCGGAGCTTAGCTTCTCACTTCAGCTGGATTTCTTACTGCTTTGTTTTTCGTCGACTAAATAGGGCTGCCCATCATGTGGCACAAAATGCCCTCTCATCGGGAGTTCGACTATTAGTCGACTCCCACGCTTTTCTTTCTTTCTCCTTATGACTACTAGCTTTTACCCGACCCGTTGGTCGGATGAATTTTGTATTATATTTTGTTGTTTTGTATTAACCAATTTGCATATTTTCAAAAAATTTATAGTCTTTTAAATAGTTTATTCATAAAGGGAAAATAATATTTGTGTTACTTTTGAATTTTATATTAGTAAGTAATTAGTTCTGGTGATGTGGCCATCCTAGGTTACTGGTATCTATATTTTTTTATATTTTAGAAGAAAATTTTATACTTTTTTACATTCAATATAAATTGCTTAAATTGTTTTTCTTTATAAGATTTGTTATTATCGATGTACGGATCCATACCTCTTGAATTCCAAAAAAAAAACATGTAAATTTTCTAAAGTGAATATAAAAAAGAACAAAATGCTACCGGTTATATTTCATATTCGCTACCACACACGGTGAAAGAACCTGGAAAACAAAAGTCACTGTAGGTCAATTTAATTTTGTTATTAGGCAATTTATCAGTGAAAAGAGAATGAGGCCCGACAATAAAAACTATAGGTTAGCACAATTGTTTGAGCCCAAATTAGATGAATAAAGCAGACAACTCTGAGTTCTCAAAGAGAGCTTTCACAAATATCTAAGGCTAGCAGTTTCAGTAATAGAAAATATATCTGCACATCAAAACTCATCGCAACTTTCAGTTCCAGCCCTAGCCCGCCAAAATATTGATCTTTCCTTCTCCTTCTTTTGCTGCAGCATTTCAATTCACATTCTAAAAATAGAAACATCAGCAGAATCAAGGCTATTTATATTAAATGTTACGTTATGGTGTCTGATTCATCGGCAGGGTGGCTGACCACCTTATTGCCGTAAACTTGGCAACTTCCCAACCAATTCACCGCTCTCGGTCAAGCGCTCACATCATCCATCATTTATCTATCTAACTCTTAACATATTTGGTTTCTGATCTGGCCATGGCCGGTGAAATGAAGATGTTGAGTTTTGTATCTTGCCCATGGTTGGAACTTGGAAGTGATGGTGGCGGTGGCGGAACATTGGGTGTGATGGGAAGCATTTGTAATTAGGAAATGCACCCAGACCCCAGTTGACTATCTTGGCTGTGAAATTAAAAATAAATTTGTGAACAAAAATAGGTGCATATGTACCCAAAAGAGGGGTAAATTATCAGTTAAAGACTACATCATTACTAAGTCATGATTGAGGAATTAGCATCCACACGAAGTTGGAATCGTCGAAGATTACAACTGGGTGTCTAAAGTGCAAATATAGTAACAACGGGGGAATAACCAAAATCAGCAAGTGTTTGGCTGAAAAACCACAGTGATTTCCATTAAAATTTCTCAAGTAAATTGGTGACATGATTGTCTGTAACTGAAATTGGTTTGGTATATTTAAAGGTTCAACTATGAAATAATAGCAAGAGATCACTCAAGAGATCTTGTATCAATGATGAAAATGAGGTAACGATTCTTGTCATATGAACATATAAAACATCAACGAAAGGAGGCATACTGAAAGCATAGTGGAAGATAAGTTGAACAGAATGAGAACAAACTGTAAACTTGTCATTGTTGAAAATTAAGAGGCATATTAGAACAAAGTTACTAACTGGGCATTGATAAAGAACAATTAGTCTAAGCACGTACCAGCGTAGTTTTGATAATAATGAAACATCTTTGTTGGTGATATAGCAAAGGAGCTTTGTGTTTCACCAATGTCGAAGCGGTGGGAACTGGGAAGACACTACAAAACATGTTTGGAGTAGGAAACCATGCATAGTCCTTTTTGTTAATGAGAAATTGCAGGCCATGTCAACAATGACAGAGAAAATAATTAGGAAAAACAAACCAAGTTATTACAAAGAAATAGACACACGCCTTAAGAGTTCTTTTTCAAGTAGATGATATAACTTTTGACTCCTAAAATAGATAGATTCAGCAAACTTTTTTTTTAAGTGATAGATTCAGCCAACTTAATTTCGTACAACTTGAAAGCCAGATCGAACTGGATAAATATCTAAACCAAATAAAAAAATCGAAACCATATAGCAAAAATGACTAAAAGCTTTAAGAATAAAATGTCCCAAACTCCAAAGCGTTATATAATGCAAGTAAAATAGCTTATACTGACAATTCAATTGTAAATGAGTTTATAGGATCATATACTGGAAGGCTCAAACTAATCGCTTCGAAGTGTGGGAATAGAGCTAGTAATAAGGAAACACGTGAATGAAAAACATTGAAATTGATCAGATCACACATGATTTAATGGTCACCTTCTAGAGCAGAACGACTAAAAGTGAGACAAACGGCTAATAAAGCAGTAGGGAGGAGAGGACATAAATGCACCGACTAACTCACCCGGGGTAAGCATCAACCCCCATAAATTTGTAAGGCTTCATTCGTTGGAGTGATAAACATATACCAGCCGAAAGTGCAGGCTTGAAAGACGACATATGGATCATAGACCCCTACTCTCGAATCATACATACAAACACTGCAAATTGAAAGTAGGCTAATGTATCTGAAAATGTAGAATTGATTAGTCTCCCCCACCAAACTACCCTACATTTAGAAAATATGCTAATTGTTTAAACCACTAACAAAAACTCAACCAAAAGAAGCGGTTCATGCATTGAAGCCATATCATGGCAAGAAAAGCAAGTCCTGATTTTGAGAACTAAAACCCACAATCAAGAATTGGAGAACCATGCCAGGAAATAGAAAGAAATAAAGCCAAACCATAAAGAGGAGACTTCAATATCTCGGAAGCCAAGGGTCAACTTTGATAGCAGGGTGGAAGATATAATCAAAACCTGAGCTGAGCAGCATCTGGTGCATTGCCATAAGCCATCCTGTAAATTTGTGCATTTGAGAGCAGCAAGTCAATTATCAGATTATTGCCAAGAGATTCCACTAAATTAAGGTGAGTAACTCCAAAGAGAGAACAAAGGAATCAAGAAATAATTATTGAGGTATAACCAACCAAAACAATAGCTTATAAAAAAAAGGTCAAAATCCGCAAACCTCCCTCATCATTGCCTATCCGCCATCGAAATAGACCATTAAGACGGGTGTACCATAATCATATATGGGCGGAACCATCCCTGTCTAGGCTAGCATGATCCTCACATGACCTGGAATTAAAATATATACGATGCAACAAATGAAACAACACAAATACATGTGTCAACACAAATACATGTGATCGTCCTGCCAGTTGGTCACATAGGTCGAAACCCTCCGGAAAAACTTGGCCTTGAAAGTGTCCCACACCTGGTACTTGTAGTGGTTGATCACCGCCGTCCCCTCCGCCACGTTCGTCGACTTGTACCCTTCCCTCAGCTTGAAGTGATGCACAATGTTCAGCAGCGTCATGTCGAGAAGGTCCGGTCGGACGAAGGACTTGTGCCTTTCAGGAGCCTGCAGCCTGCAAGTGTAACCTACCGTCACACCTTGCTTCGGCGGTTCTGTCAGCCCCGATGGGCCGAAGCTGTGGCACATTGTCCTCACCTCCACGATCGTGGGCGAATCGGTGTAGTTTGAGACCATGGCGCGGAGCGAGTTCTGCCCTGGCAAGGGGGTTTGGCCACTGTAGTGAGGGAAGTAGAAGAACTCGTCGACGTCGAAGAAGCCGACCCACTTGCACTCGTACTTTGCTCTCAGAGCAAAATGCGAGAACCCTGCCTCCTGCGCTTTGATCCACGCCAGACGTGCCTGGAGACATTGTGATTCCGCGTGTTGAGCTCGTCGGCGACGTCTTGTAGCCCGTCGTCGCTGTTGTTGTCGTAGATGAACCATCGCTCCACTCCCAGCCACGAGTGGTACATCACCCATTCCTTCAAAACCGACGCTTGATTCCACAACATCGTGCAAGATGCAGAGCTCGTACTTCTCTTCCCCTTTCCCTCTCATTCCGTGGGATTTCGGGTTGTACACTTTCGCCACGGATGGCAGAGCTGCAGGGGAGGCCGAGGCAGGGGAGGCGGCGGAGTCTTCGACGCGGCTGACGGTGACGCGGATTCCTTCGGCAAGCGCGGTGTTGTTTTTCCGGATGCAAGCAGCGGACCACTTCCTGAGCCGCGGCGGTGGCTTCGGTGGTGAAGACGAAGCTCTCCTCTCTGGTCAATTGTTGCTCAGCGAGAAATGGCACCTGAATTCGGCCGGATCGACTTCCCTTCACGGCTTCAGATTCAACCCTTTTGCCAACACCACCACCGTGTTCCAATCCAGAATCGCCTCGTAGACCACTTTCCCCCAATCGGGGACGGAATCAGAATTTTCCTCATCCGCCGTCTGATTCGCCGCCCTCCTCGAAGAAGCCATCCAGTTCCCTTCCACAACCTCGCCGCCGGGGCGGCCCAAATCCACGACGGCGGAGTAGTTCACAGGCGGGAGCTCGCACCTCACAATCGACTTCTTTCTCCCTTTCACCTTTCCCCCTCTCTCTCTGTAATGTGATTGGAATTGCGATTCCCTTTCTGTCTCTCTCTCTCTCTCTCTCTCTCTCTCTCTTAATAACAGTAGAAAAAAACAAAGGAACTGATGGAAGGGGAAAAGGAAGGAGTTTTGCCTCTGGGTTTTGTTGTTTTGCACGCTTCTTCAGTGGACCATTTTCTTCCTGGGAAATAAAAAATAAATACAAATTAAATGATAACGTGGCCTGGCAGGAGAAAAGGTGGGTAGTGGATAGTTTTTTGGTTCTGAAATCAGGCGGGGACTCTCTTTTTTTCCCGCTTAACACTCTGCCACATCAGCTTCCTAAAATCACTCTATGGGCAGGAAATTTTGAATGGGGTGCAGTTTTACTTTTCAGCTATAAATTATATTGTTGATCTTTTTAACACTGACTTTGCGGGGAAAAAAAATCGGAAAGTTTTGATTATTATATTATTTAAAACGCAAAGACTTTGTTATTAAATTGTATTAGAAAAACAACCTTTTTTCTGGTTCTTCATCCATTTCCTCCATTCCACACATAGCCAAACACGCACTCTCTGTTCTCAGCTTGCAGGAGGAAAGTACACGGGGGACGATGAGCAACGCACAGACCAAGCCCTTGCATTCTTGAGAGACCCATTTCCCTCAATCGAACTCTCTCTCGATCTCTTCCTCTCTCCATCAATGGCGGCCGCAGCCACAACGCTCTATCTACTTCCTTCCCTCAGCCGCCCTTCGCCCGCGTCTTGTTCTACTGCTTCTTCTTCGCCATTCCTTGTGCATTTATCGTCTCGCAATAGCTTCGGTTCCGCAACTTTGAATTGCTCATTCCCTCGTGCTCTCAAGTTCAAGCGCGAAAAGGCTCCTTCCCATCGTTACGGCCCAGTGGTTCGTGCAGCTTCTGGCGATTACTATTCCACTCTCGGCGTTCCCAAGTCCGCTTCGATTAAAGATATCAAAGCAGCATATAGGAAATTAGCTCGCCAGGTAGCCATTTCTTTCCACCTTACTAGCCTGTTTTGCTCAATCGTCCAATTTGATTGTGTAGGTTTTTGGAATATCTTGTTTATTTGACTGCGATTACCTATTAATACTTCTTAGCTTCCTGGGGAACTATGTGTTAGGAAGCAATTTTTTATTGGTTGTAGAGAATCTGCTTTAATAGAATTGAAGAGATGAAAGGGAGTGAAATGTCTTGGATGGTACGGAAATTGATTTTTCCCTACTTCCAGTTGCCCCTTCAAACAATTGGTGGAGAATGCTAGGGTTCTAGTTTTTATGCAATTGTTGCCTACCGAGTTCACATTTGAGCTACACCCAAAAGAACTGTTAATAAGGTGCATAACGTGCTTAGAGTCTAGAGAGGTTGTAGATCCTCATCTATAACTCCATCAAGTAAAAAATCTGTCAAAATAGTTCGAAATCACGGGTTACTTGCATCACTGATCTTTTGAAATATTTCTCTTTGCTTAGTGATGTCTTCCTGTTAAATTAACGGAGTTTGTGGAGGAAACTTCACTTAGGGGCCCTCTCGTGCAGCATGCGTAAGCAAGTGGAGTACCTTTTTGGGTTACTTATGCATGGGCAATTCTTGCCAATCTATATTAATTTCGGTAACTTGATTTATGATGTGGCTGGATCCTGTTAAAGTTACTGAAACTTTTCATTTGCTGCTATGGTATCTGTTTTCCTTGTTGCAATCGGTCTATCTTGAATTTCATACTTTGTTCTCTTGATTTCAGTATCATCCTGATGTTAACAAGGAGCCAGGGGCAACTGAGAAATTTAAGGAGATTAGTGCAGCATATGAGGTATGCATAACCATTCTGGCCTAACATCTCTATTTTTAGCTGTGTAGCTTTATGGCAACTGGGTAGGCTGTCTGTATAGAATCTATCTCTCCTAGTGCTTAACTGTGGGCTCAATGCAGCGTGTTCTGTTCATTGATGGGGCTGGGCATTGCTCTTATGTTCATTTTCTACTTTTGTACAACCATTCGTTCTTTTGTCTATTTTTTGGGACCTCACTGCGTTTGGCCTACTTTTCCTTCATTGAGTTTTCTGGTAAAGTTTCTGAAACTTAAATTTCATCGTTACCAGATTGTGTCAGGACGATCTTGCCTTCAGTCCCATTTTTTATAATATAGGTCGTAACTTGTAAGTATGATTAGTTATTGAAGAAAGAGATGCAACTGTGACTCTGATGGTCTCCAATAAAAATCATGTTGCCTAGTTATAATTTCAAATAAACTCTGGACTTCTGGGGGTGCAATGCTCTCTGGGAAAGTCTTCTTGGTAGGTTGTAGTGTTGTGCCTTATTTCGCTTGAATGGACAAGTAACACTGGTTATGCAAAGCCTAGCTAGTAATTTTCTCTTGTTGCACTCAGCATTATTTCTGATCTCTGTATTCTCAGTGTGCATTTTAATCTACTTGGGATTTTGTATTTATGGGGAATTCTTTTAATTTCTGAAGTGCAACACTGTCAGGTGCTATCAGATGATAAAATGAGGGCCAGATATGATCAGTTTGGTGAAGCTGGAGTGAAGAGTACAGTTGGTGGCCAGTCAGATGCATATACGGTAGTGGCTATTTGATAACCTCTGCTCTGATGCTTCCATGTTAATGTTGGTGCAAATGTTGGCATTAAGGGGGCAATGCAAATAGAATCGCCATTTATGTTCTTCTTGTTGGATCTAGTAGCCAGGGTTGGTGTAAATATTCGCCATTGGCCATTATGGACTTAGCAACTCTTTTGTTGTTGTTATTGATTTGCAGCTCTATATGTAAATAAATATATAAATAGACACTGGTGTGTTTTCTTTCCAGGTTTTATAATTTGAACAAAATATTTTCTTTCTGCAGGTTAATCCTTTTGATCTCTTTGAGACGTTCTTTGGGCCGAATATGGGTGGCTTTTCTAGTATGGACCAAACCGGCTTCAGGACAAAACGTCGCAGTACAGTAATTAAGGGTGAAGATATAAGGTGCGTTAGTCGTTTAGAAATATGAGTTAGCCTGCCATCTTAAAGTTTTGCAAGTTTTTTTCGTTTGTTTTTTTTTTCCTTCAATATTTTTTAATAATGTTACATTGTTTTGGCTTACTGAAGCAGTTATTTTGTCTGTATGTATCCAATTCCGTAGTTTACTATGTGCACTTATGGTGCTATGCTTCTCTCACTGTGATTGAAGCGTCACTATTTGTGCATATTTGGTTACTGTTACAATAGACAAATAAAAAGTTTCCGTAAGTGTTATAGATATTGTTGCAAGTGAAGAAGTTATTGAAGAACAAGCACATGATTGGAGGTATTTTTTGTTCTGAACAAGGCCTTTTCACAACATTATCCATTTACAAAACATGGTAAATGGGTACAATTGCCTCTGCTCCTGGCTAACAGCGGATTTGTATGGATCTGAGCAATAGTGCATGGTTCATTGGAGCATACGCTGTTCCTGACCTAAATAAGTTGGTACTGGAAAATACTTCTTTATTTATTTGCATCTGATGGTTCCACTGGCTGCGAAATGATAAGTGCTCTTTTGACACCTGAAGTGCTACAGAATCACCATTGGTTTCTTACTCTGTCTCCATTTTAATTTTGCTTCAGGTATGACATTGCTTTAGAATTTTCCGAGGCTATCTTTGGAGCTGAGAAAGAATTTGAGCTATCTCATCTGGAAACATGTGAAGCTTGTACTGGCACAGGAGCCAAAGTAGGGTCCAAGATGAGGGTCTGCTCAACTTGTGGTGGAAGAGGTCAAGTTATGAAAACTGAACAAACCCCCTTTGGCATGTTCTCACAGGTAACAAGACACTTTCCCCTTTCTGTACTCTTTAAGTGCTGTTAGTGCCTACTAATTTCTTCGTGATTGATGAAACATTAGGTTTCTGTCTGTCCTAACTGTGGTGGGGAAGGTGAGGTCATCTCTGAATATTGTCGAAAATGCTCCGGAGAAGGGCGTATACGTACTAAGAAAGGTATCAAGGTTAAAGTACCTCCTGGAGTTGCCTCGGGTAGTATTCTCAGAGTTGTTGGAGAAGGAGATGCTGGACCTAGAGGGTATGTCTATACATCTTGAATATTGTAAGCGATTATCTTTTTCTTTCTGGTATTCAGTAAATATTGGCCTCTTGTTGACTTGGATGAAGATAATACGTCTTGATTTGTTATCTGTATCTGCTCTTAAGTTATTAAATGTCCACTTTGCACTTATAATGTCATAGTAGAGACACTGTAACGTTGATGATGTCTGCAGATTTACTTGAACTCTTAGATTCACAAAACGGATCAGCATAATGAAAACATGATTCATAAAAAGCCAAGGAAATAGCCTAACTGACCGACCAAAGAATTGTACTTAATGCATAATTCAGATTGGAGTTAACTGGAATGCAAATTTGAGTTACGTCTCTCTGCCTACTTATTTCTATGTCTACTGTCATCAACATCTCATTGCCTACTTATTCCTAGTCTATGTCTACCATCCGCAACATCTCATTTAAGATATTGATATTTTTCTGAGATACTATAAACTTCTGTAACTTGTTATTGCTAACGAGTCATCCTGATGTGCCCTTTGATTATGATAAATAGATGCCTCTTGCAAGGAGCAAATGATCTTAGTATCCGTGCTTAAGCAATAACACTGGCCCTGATTTTAAGAAGCCAACATTATTGCAATCCCACATCAGAGAGTTCTATCACTCTCATAGAGTAAACATTTCTAATGCAGGCCTGAGTTATGAGTTTAGGTACACGATAATGAGTTTCAATTGAAGTTAACCCTTGGGCTTATGTGATGGTTTAAAAGATATGAGCATGTGGTAAATTCTTAGAGGCAGCTACATGAAATTTTGATGAGGTTCATCCTTTTCCTGAAGAACATACAAAGCTGTTTACATATGATGTCTGATGATCAATGCCACTTCATTGAAGCTTTTGAAACATTGTACATAGGATGGTTATGAGAACATTGAATGTATTTATTTCTGATCCGAAATGAAGAGAATACTGTAGTCATTTGAGTGCACTACGTATTGCTGGAGTTTATATTTCTTACACTGATCCAAATTGATTATTAATTTGTCCTATGCAGTGGCCCCCCAGGAGATCTATATGTATATCTCAATGTTGAAGAGATAACTGGAATTCAAAGAGATGGCATAACTCTGAGATCAACTATATCTATCAGCTATGTTGATGCGATTCTTGGAACTGTTGTCAAGGTCAGGCTCTTTCTTCAGCAGTTTTGCTGCTTCTTGGTTTCTTCTAAATTCTTGATTCTTCTTTTTGGGAAGTCATATTCATACTATTTTTGGCAAAAAAAAAAAAAAATATATAGGTGTGCAGGTTGGGTTTTCCATCATTTACAGAAGTTCAGAGAAAATTTTTAATTGATAAAATATAATGGGAGGTTCAGACTTAGCATGGCTGATGATGTTTTGCCTTCTTTAGTGTCATTCAAGTTGAAATATTTTCTAATGTTGTTTAGATTCATTTGTTTTTAGTGGAACCAAAGTTGTATCTTGCATAAGTTAGAACGATTGTATGGCAATGTGAACAGGTGAATACAGTGGATGGAGAAAGTGAATTGAAAATTCCTGCTGGTACTCAACCTGGGGATGTATTAGTCCTGTCCAAGAAAGGTGCACCAAAATTGAATAAACCATCTATACGTGGCGATCACTTGTTTACAGTTAAAGTCACCATACCAAAAAGAATAAGGTACGAATCCGTCTTCGACATTTTCTTTCGAAATCTTTTTCTCATTATATTTTTTTTTATGCTATCAGAAACTCAAAGTATTAATATCTTGGCTGGCTTGCGTTTGTAGTGGGCAAGAGCGTGAATTACTTGAGGAACTAGCTTCTCTGAGCAATACTAGTGCAGCTAGATCATCAACCAGGCCCAAACCTCAGATTTCCAGTAAGCTGCTGTTACTCAGTGGATGATATGTTATCCTTTTTCCAGATAATACTGTTTCTCATGTTCAACCTATCCCAGCTCTCTAGAAATCGAGTCAGTAGGCATACCCTCGTATGATAAGAGAAGGAATTTTTGGTTAAATCATGATGCAATGACATTTGCATTCAAGTACCCAGTACCAATCCTAGAGAATCATGCAATATAATGGTAATTATGTTCTTGATGCAACAGAAAATGACGACGGAACAGTGGCAGGAACAACTGAGGAAGGAGGAGAGCAAAGTGACGTTTGGAAGCAGTTAAAAGATTTAGCAGGGTAAATGCTCATTTTTGTTTCCTTCCCCTTTTGTTCAGGACCTTTGATTGCTTGTGTTTTATTTTTACTGGCCATAGCAAAATTCTCGGAAAGACTGTCGGGCGACGTCATGGAATCTGTTATCGTTTTGCAGGGCTGCTGTCAATGGCGCTATGAAATGGCTGAAGGACAACCTGTAGGAACAACTTCTTCCATCACTTGGGGCATTCCGGCTATTTTTTTCCCCATTTCTAGCTAGCATTACATTTTAGAATGAGCCCTTGGATGGAGGATTTGGTGGTTAACTTGGCAGCAAGTGTGCTTAGAATTGAGATAGCAGAACTGAGAATCCAAATCCTATATAAGAAAAAAAAAATTCTTTTGTCTGTTACTATTTTCTTTTCTTTCTGTGCTCTTGTAATTCGGTTTCTGCTCATTTCGTGGCATTATACTTTATACGATGTCAATACTGCTAAACATTACTGCTCATTGATGCGTTGCCATAGTGACAAGATTTACAATTTTTTGCCCTCTCTATTTGGTAATTGATGGCTCCCAAAACAATTCTGCAAAACACGTTCGTTTGTTAATTTAATGTATTTATAATCCGAGGATAATTAGGTTTATCTCCCTCCAATTCAATTCATGAGCTTGGTTCACACAAGTAACAGTGGTTGCTCGACCAAAATGCGGGTTTTGGATATTTTGGTAAAAATGAAAAATAAAATAAAAGGAGAAACAAAATATCTGCGATAGTTATCGCTCGTGGAAGTTGGAATAGCAGACGGAGGCAGCTGCTGGTTAATTCCGAAAAATGACGACACTCGCAACTCCAGCTTGCCTTGCGTTATCCGTAGTAGTGGGAGCGAGAACCAGCGGCCGCCGCAGCCAGGAAATCAAGGTTGGTTTTCCACTACGGCGATCAGGGACGTCACCCCGTCGATTACTAATGCTCTGCCGCCGTGGTGGTGGTGGTGAACCTGAAGCCACCAACGATTCTGCTTCTGGTTCGTCGAAGGTCGGTTTAACTTTGCATTTGTGTTACAATTGAAGTCCGGAAGGGCATTTGGTAGATGGTAATTGAAACATGGGGCGGTGGGTTGATGCATTTCAGATGGAAAGGCAGGAGGTGGACGGCGGCGATGATTTGGGGTATCTGCTGAAACTTGGAGCAGGTACTTTCGCCGGAGCAGCTGCAATCAAATACGGAAGCGTGGTGTTCCCGGAGATTACAAGGCCCAACCTCACTCAAGCTTTGCTTATGATCTCACTTCCAGTCGTCGTAGCCAGTCTCCTGCTTTTCATCAATCAAAACCCCTCCGACGACAACTGACTAATTCCGACGGAAGCAATGCTGCGGTGTAAACTTTGTAACTTCATGAGATATAAATAAAATGTCGATTTTGAAATCCCCTTATTGATCTCCTCCTGTTCCTGTTGTGCATGAAGATTCAGACTTCTGACCATTTATAAGATCAGTTCAGTCGTAGAATTGTGCTAAGTTTGTACAACATGACAAACAACGTATCTAAGGCGCCCGCTTCGACGCTTCCCTTGTTTGCTACGATGAGCATTTGTCATTCACTTATCCAGGATCTTGCTTAATGCGGTTCGTTCTTTGGGGGTTTCCTCCTCGGAAGCATCGAACTCGCTGCTGTCCATACCAGCAGTAGCATTTAGAGCACAGCGGATCACTGAATTCACCTCCATTTTCGATCTAGCATAGTTAATGAACGTTTCTGCAAGCATCTTCCTCAGTTTCTTGTCAGTTGCATCTTCACCAACACCTCCATCCCCGTTTACGTTTAGCACCGGTGCTGATGTTCCTGCTTCATCTACCAGCAGCTGCGCCTGTTAAGAAAGAAGAATGCAGCAATGATGACAAGTTGGCTCATCATACAGATAGAAGATGGTCTATTTCATAAGGTTAATAGGAAATGAGGTCATACACCCAATTGTTATGCTCTACGACCTAAGTATCACATTGATCACCGACTATCATATGAATGGGAATTATCAATGAACTTGAATTAGATTGGAAAATTATCGATGAGCTAATTACAACAGGAAATAGAAATCCTTCCTTTCTACGTTATAAATCAGACAATTCAAGTGTTACCTCTGCGAGAAGGAGGCCTATTCGACTGTCGGAGGTTTCCAGCAGATCAATGGCATCAGAGGGCGAGGAGGATGAGTCCACGATTATCTTGTTCTTCTCTCCAATGAGGAAGTTGACACTACATTGTTGAAGCCTGTCACAAAGGATTTCACATTCATGCAGCAACTTCACATTGGCAGTTGTCACCTTCGCCTTCTCTTCCCTTTCCTTAAGAAGAGCACTCTGCCAAGGAAAACCAAGAACGCCTCATTGGATATTGCAATATTGCAAATGATTACGCCCCATTACATCGAAGATCCATCCAACCAAGTGAATTCCATTTGCATATACACAAATTTAAAATTCAGAGAAGTGCCAAGACACAGTTTTTATTGGCAATCACCTAGATGTCGGTTAAAAATATGTGGCATTAACATTCTATTTTTAGTCATGGCTGCTGAATCCTTTGAAAGGTATGATTGGTTTCAGAACATTCATGCCTAAAGTCTAGAACAGTATAAATAGAGCTTCATAGAGAATGAACTAAACCAACAGGACGAGGTCAATGAGTGAAGTCCATGTTAAACTTTTAGATCTTACACTGAATAGAGAAAAGCCGAAATGAGAAATTTACCTCTAGGTCCTCTTTTTCCTTTGTGAAGCAGGTAAGCTCCTGTCTGAGTTCAGAATTAGAACCTCTAAGAGACTTGACTTCTTTTACAAGAAGCTTTACCTCTGTTTTTGACTTCAGCTCTACCTCTTCTAGTTGTTTACACATATTTTCAAGCTCTTCCTTTGCAGTACCAAACTGTTTCAGCAACGTTTCGTTCTCCTTAATTAGTGAATTTTTCAAAGACTCCTCATGTTCCCTCTGAGCCTGTAAAATATGTGTGTACCCATCAGAATTTCAAAATAATGTCTCAATTTCATAGCATGGATCATAAGAAACTTCCCAGAAATATAAACCTGTTCAAACTCCAAGTTCATTTCCTTCTCAAAATATCTGTTCTTTAGTTCTTCAATATCCCACTGCATTTGAGTGAATCTTTCTCTTTCCTTCAAGGCAGCTTGCTGCATGTTCTCTTTGCAGCTATCTTTAGTGGTCTCAAGATCTGCTTCCAAATCCTTCACCTACTGGAGAAAATAACTAAGTTAGTGCTCTGATGATTGCCCCCATTTCATGCGTTAGTCTTCTTGGAAAATAAGCACAGGGCAAAGCTAGCTTATGGTTAGCATGTTTAACAAAATAACATGACAGCATTTTAGTTGTTTCAGTGGATCATTTTCCCAATTTTACTAATAATATGAATGTGCTAGCCCTAGCAAACTAATATATAATCTCAGTCAGTCCAAACTGAGGCTTGTAATGTAAGATGAAGAATGAACAAGCCGATTTATTACACGAGGGATGCTAAAGCATTATAGTTAGATGACTCTTACGACAAAGTACTATTTTCATAAGACAAGCTAAGTGGCTTAAGCTGGGAAGAGTGAGTGTCAACACGAGGCTTACTCTCATCATTAAAAATTGCTTCACAGCAACTTCCTTGTTGAACCTTCCCATAAGATCTTCAATGTCGGTTTTCGCTATAGCTACTCTCTGCACCACCTTATCAAGAACCCTGTTCAAATTTTGACGCTCATAAGAGGGAAAAGCAACTAGCAAGCCATCTTGGAGCCTCACATTTGAGCTGTCAGTAACATCAGTGATTTCAGCTCCTTCGAGGAAATCATCTTCACCATTATCCACAACCAAATTTGATATTTCACTTGCATCGACAGAAGTTGACTCTCTCAATGATCTTTCAACGAAATGCCTATACACATTAAAATCAGGCTTATGATTCTCAAATTGAAGCAAAGATGTTATTCCACTGCTAAGGACAGCTTTATCTTCAGATGTCCTGTTGCCATTGTTATCACTTCTCTCTCTTGTTGCTTCACCACCGGATATTTCCTCCGTTAAATCATTGCAATAATCTGATGCAATGAATGAACTGTTGGAAGGTACATAAAGATCTTCGCCGATTTGGGACAAAATTGGAGGAGCCACATCACTTACAGAAGAATTTGAATCTTCATGCACTCCATCAAAAACTGGAAAGTTAAAAAATATAGTTTTGAAAACCTTGTCTTCATTAACACAAAGCAACTGTCTCGATTTGATGTCCACCAAATGCAATCCCAAGTTCAGAAGTACTTACATGACCTTACACTTGCTTCGAGCTCAAGAAAGATCCCCACAGCAGCGCTTCTAGAGACATATATGTCCGACAATAGTTGCTCAATCCAATTCTCCAGAGAGCACCTTCGCTGAAAAAAATTGAATGTTTCGAGAGAAGAATATAAGAATTATGGCACATTTGACAAGCAAGATGGTAAAACTCTAGTCCTATCCCTTCGTTGGCTTGCTTTACACTAATCCCAAGGAACCATCCAATTTTCCGAGTAGTGAAATAATAGCAACTAAACAGGCCACTGATATAAGAATTTTCAGAACATCAAGTATATAGAAAAATAAGATGGCATCTACCTCTTCCAGCAATGTCTTGCTTTGAACTTTCAAAATCCTCTTAGGTGGAGCTGGAGGCATCTTCCTCAAGGGAAATTCTTTTTGCAGCTTCAATAGACAGTGGAAAGAGTGAGCTTATCTTACACAGATTAAAAATATAAGAAGGCAAGGTGGCGCATGATAGCAATTTCGAATCAAAAGATATCTGAACTTTGAAAAGGGAATTGATGCCTCACATCAGATTGCAGTTTCAAAAAATCGCTAAATCTTCGCAGTATCTCTCTAGTGGTGGCACTGGCAGCCACATTAGGTGATTGCAGACCAACTTGAACCCTATAGAACTGCCCATGATTAAAGGCAAAAGATCTAGTCACTAAAGGAGGAGAAATCACTAAAAAAACTCACAAAAAAATTCAGTAGATACAAGATCAAGAGAATGGCAGCAGAAGGATTCACCAAGACTCAAGTCTATTCCAAGTTTTTACAATTCTTCTCTACAACAAATTCATCCTCTTAGAACGAATACTCCTGTACTTACACAAACCTGGGAAAGAGAAGATCATACAATAAGTTAAAGGCAGAGGAAAACACATACCGTCGTGGGATTTGAACCTGATGAATTTGTCATTAGAGTCCAAGAAGGGATTGTAACCCAGTAACTCCATCCTTTTCGGGTATCCTCTGGCCAAACTGTACTCTGTCCATCCAACATCGAAAGGCTATGAACATTTCAGAACAAGTTCATCAAGTCGAAGTTCTGAGAAATAAACTGATACGCCATAGTAAACAGAAGGTCAAAATTCTGTAGCAAAAGGCAAACAACAGCTGGTAATAACTTCCCCAAAAGCAAGTGTAACAAAGACGAAACAATTAAAAGCTCTATTCGGCAAGAACTCGGTCAATTAATTGAACTTCGCTGATTCAGGGTACCTCCCAATTTCAATCAAGTCATTCCAGAATCAAGTTCAGTTCCGTGCCCGTCAATTTAAACGGAACCGCAGCCAGCGTACCTGTACAGGATGCTGAGGATATGGGGTCCAGTCCATTCCCAGCGGCAGCGGTGAAGTCCCGTCGTAACGATGCGGCGGAGGGTTTTGATCGGCGTCAGTGGCAGTGGTGTCATGGCGCGGCGATGGAGCTGAAGAGGCTGATGATGACCAAGAGGAAGGAGAAGGGTTGAGATGGGAAAGGGAGAAGCGATCGAGGAATGGATCGGAAAAGTCGCCGGAGTCGAGTAGAGAGAGGTCGTGAATGTAAAGATTCATTTCTCCGGACCTAGGCTGCTGGAGAATTGTGGCGGCAGTCTCGACAAATTATCTGGATTCCTATTTAACGCCCTATATTTTTAAATAAATCGCCCTAAACTGTATTGAATGTACGATTTTGCCCCCAAAAATAAATCGCCCTAAAGTTCACCCAACGTTAGAGAGCTTCCCTCTCCGTCTGTCTTCCCCGACGAGCTGCCACCTCCCTCTACTCCTGCTCGCCTCGCCCGACGATCAGCGGCGCCGCTCTACTTCGGTGGCCTCCTCTGCTCGCCTCGCTTGACGATCAGCATCACCGCTCTGCTTCGGTGGCCTTCCTTTTCTCCTTCTTCTTCAAAGGAAAAAACCCTAAATCCCAAATCGAAACTTCTTAATTAAATCACAAATTGATTGAGTTGAGCCTAAGATCATGACGCATGCACAGAAGAAAGAAGGGCCGTGATTGTGAGTCCCAAATTGAGGTGCTTTTGGTTCTTGTTATCGGAATTGGAAGGTGGAATTGTAGGCGAAGTTTTGGGGGATTCACCGATCTGGGTGTGAGTTGGGAGAGGGAGTAACAGAAGAAAAAGAAGTTCCTCCATGTGTTGATAAATCAATTTTGCAACTGGGTTTTCTTCTCTCTTCTGATTCATCGCTTTTGTCTGGAAGGACCATTTCCTTTCAATTAATCAAAAGTTCTTTAGCTCATAATTTCAAAGAGCTCTGTATGCATTTTCAGTGAACCCTCATTGCGAGGGTTAATCCCCTTTCTCTTGCTTATGATTCTTGAAAGATCTCTGCCAATATCATGTCATGTTGAAGCTCTAGTTATGAGAAAGTGAATCTTGTCGAGTAAGAAGCGGAGGACGGCGGACTGGATTTCTAGTCGAGGAGCGGAATGGAGTCGTTGTAGATGATGGTGTTGAAGCTGGGTATAGGGACGGTGACCCCCGACTACTCTCTTCTCCTCCTCTCTGCTTGCTCATCCCGACCGATGATGTGGGCGATGGCAGATGATGACTGGGCAGCAGAATCCGGTATTTGTGGTGGCCGGCGAGATTATTCATCTAAAGTTAGGTTAGAAATCGGGAATAGGGACAAATGTGTCTAATTTTTAATTTAGGGCGATAAAATTTGAAATTTTAGGGCGACAAATAGTAACTCCCATTCGGTCACTTCGGCCACGGCAGTTAGAGCGGGGAAGAAGGACACATAGGCGAACTATAAAAGCTGCTACCGCATACCGGTCTCCTCGTCCCGCTGCTCCGCAATTTCTTTCCTTTACGGCTTTTACCCCTGAAGTTATATAACCTTACTATTCGAACCCCCAAACTTTAAAGCGTTTTCCATGCGAATCTCAAGCCCTCAAAAAAATTTTTATTACGAGGAACTTCAGCCCCACGTGACACTTTTTGACAGTGGGGCCTACTAAAATTTGGGGTCACCTGCAATCAACTCGACACCAATGGGGCTTCGCTCCCAGCTGCCTTGTACCTCCGGTAACACCAACGGGCAACGGGTCTCGCTTGAATTCGAACCTAGAATCTGCAACTCACAAACCTTCATTGTCGCGACAACTTTACCATTAGGCTATCTTACCTTTGGTCAAGCCCTCTATTTGATTTCTTGGGAAAATGAGTACATGTTATTTTTTTACAAAATATAATCATATATTGATTGGAAAAAACATGTAGTTACATTCTGGAATTCAGTCAGGTCTGGAAATCAAAGAAACGACTCGCAATCGGGTACAATGCAAGGGCCTTTCTAGCCACCGAATGGGCTACCCTATTGCCACTCCGTCCTTCAAATCGAACACTAAAACCGATATGAAGTGCAAAAAAAAAATGCACAATTTCCTCCAGAATCGCCCCTATCCGCGAATCTCTGGTATCAGCCTGAATAACCTTCTCGATGACCACTTTGGCATCCCCTTCAACCTCACCTCCGTAAAGCCATGGCCTAGACACCATTAATCCGCCTCACAGAGCACCAACAATTCGACATCCATAGGATCATTAATAACCGAGAATTGCACCCCATTAGCACAGAGGATGTCCCTAGCCTGGGTCATAATCACCATTCCGGCTGCCAAATGGGACTCACTCCTTGTAGCCCCATCCCACATACAAACAATAAAGGGAGTGTCCCACTAGTAGGGGTGGTTATACGGTCCGGTCCGGTTAAATTGGTCCAAATTGATCCGGTCCAGTCCGGTCTTTTTGGAAATATAGGGACCAAAGCTTGGATTGGGTACAGTTTGGTTTTGACCCGGTCCGGTCCCAATCCGGTTTTGACCTGTTTTGACCCATTTTGACCATGTTGCAAAGAATTCAGCAGCATATACCCATTTTCCTAGAATGTAGACAACCTGTTTTTTTTATTTATCAGGAATGTAGACATCCTGTTAGTAGCAAAAATCAAGCCAAACATGTTCCAATACAAAATCACAACCATCATTGATGTCTATTACAAACTCAAAGTCCAATTCAAATTTCAAAATAAAAATAAAGTGCATCACAAGTTCACAACCAAAGTTTAGACATCAAACACCAATTATCACCTTCTCTTGCTGCCGGTACTCGCTTCTTAGTACCCTGCACAAAACAATTCAATCTATATAAGAAAATGCACTTTTTTGCCTTCTCCATTGAAGAACAAACAACCTAGCTGCTGCTCACTAATCCCCTCTATCTTTCACCATTCAATTCATCACATTCCACCAATTAATTAATCACTAAAATTAAGCAACGATAAACTACAACTAATTACAAATAATATTAGTAACTTACCCAGCTGCTGCCGGCTGTGCTGGTCGACGACCAGAGGACGACGAGCTGACGAGATGGAGTGGAGGGCGGAGGCTGACTTGGTTGCGACGGTCGACGGGACAGGACGGAGGCTGGCTGGGCCGCGAAGCGCGGATGACGACCGGGGACGAGAGGTTGGTGGAACGTCCGGCGTCGGAGAGGAGGTGGGTCGCGACGTGTGCTGGCTATCGGGCTGGGTCGCAACGTCGCGGAGCGCGGATGGCGACCGGCGACGAGAGCTTGGTGGGGCGTCGGATGTCGCCGGCGACGATAGCCTGGTGGAGGCGTGGAGCGGCGAGTCGGCGACTGTGGGAGGATGGAGGAGAAGCTCGGCTGGGGGAGGATGGAGGATGGAGCGGCGACTGCTGCTTTGCAAGCAAAGTGAAATCAATTAATCAAACCCTAGGCTGCTGCTTTGACAGAGAATCTCGGCTGTGCCTGGGAGGGAGGGGAAAAAGGGTCGAGTTGCAGACTTGTAATGGGTGGGCTTGGCCTGCCCCTGGACTTATTTTAGTTATCCGGTCTTCCGGTTTTAACACGGTTTTTACCCGGATTGGATTGGTCCGGGTTTTTTTTCTATTTCTAAGACCAAAGACGGAATTGGATTGTTTTAAATCCGGTCCCGGTCTTAAACGGTCCGTGACTCGACTCTACTGTCACTCCAGGAATTGGCCAAGTGAAACCACTTCCTAAAGCGTAGTATAGCGGGTTTGGGTTTAATTATCAACCCGGGTCCTAGATATGATGACTACTCAGTGAATTCGTGTTATCTAGCAATGAAACTGGAATGCAAGTCTAAACTATCAAACTAACAAAGCAGGTAAACGGTTGTATTCAGGTTAAAGAGGTCACCCGGATATGGTTCCCCCTAGACTGCAGTTAAGCCGGATTGTAATTACCAAGTTCAGTTTCTATGACAGTTATACTGCGGAAGGTTCTTAAACAGCCTGAAGTCTCGACTAAAGGTCTTCAGACCCTCTCAATCTGACTCTCTAGCGGGCGACTAACCTCCACCGGAGTCGACAGATTGAGGCCCTAAGAACAAAACCTCCACTACCGGAGTAAATCCGGTACAGAATAGTGAGTTGGCTCCTCGACTAAAGTCACCAACTCCCTACCTTCAATCAAGGATACTCTATTAACCTAGGCAGATATTCTCATTCTAGGTCAAAGCAGAAACAACAGGAATTTGATCAGGATTCAAGTCATTCAATCATTAAAACCTCAATCGAATATAATCAATCATAGAATCAGTACTTGGGTTCATACAATCAAAGCCTAACATATAAATCTAGGGTTCTCCATACCCAGATGAATGGGAGAACTACTCCATGGAGAAGAAAGCAAAAGCAGAATCAGACACGGAATTCATACTGCGAAGGATGGATTCCTGCTTCTGGACGTTGATTGGCACTTCTCCAAGCTCAAGCTGGCCTCCAATGGTGTTGAAGATCAATCTAGGGCACTTGGGAACTCTTGCTCGTCACTTTCTCTCTCTAGGAACTGATCTCTCTTTCAAAAACTCGAATCCCCTTGAATTGTGGCTGAAACTCTGCTTAAAAGCATCAGTGGCCAAAGCACGGTCGACGGCACGGCCGTGCTTTGCCTGACTCCGCCCGTGCCTCGGCCAGGGCTTAATTACACGGCCAGCAAGTGGGTTAAACACGGTCGTGCTTCGGGTTGGACACGGCCGTGCTTTGACTGAACACGGCCGTGCTTCGGTGCCCGTGTTTGCAGCTGAATTGGCCAAACTGAATTTGCTCTCGGCATAAAAAGCACGGCCAGCAGTACACGGCCGTGTAATGCCTTAGGCTGCCCGTGTTTTGGCTCCAGCTCACCGAAATGACTTCCGAATGCCCCGAAACTCGTGCTTAGCCTTCCCTTTGACACCTGGGACCTGAAACATGACAAAATAGCACAACCCGGCGTAAAATAGGCCAAAAGTACACGACTATGCCCCTCAAACGGATAAGAACTAGGGGCGCAAACATGTGCAATTACATCGTTATCAAACTCTCCCACACTTAACCGTTTGCTTGTCCCCAAGCAAACCTAACTCAAACCAATGCAACTCTCCAGACCTCTATAGCAACAAACAACCCAGATCGTAGGTAGAGGACTTCCTAGATCATTTAGCAGCTTACGAGGTCAACCGACGCACAAGTCATCTCATAGCTTCTTCGGCGAGTCGGCATCATGGCAAACAGTGAACAGAGGACAAATGAATCGTGGATGAAGAGATTCTCAAAAACAAAAGATCATGGACTCACATTTTTCAAGATGCTCTATTTTCTGCTTAAAGATGGTTGGAACCCCTTTTTTTTCTGTTGTTTTTCTTTTCTTTTCTTTTCAAGGGTCCCAACCTGCTCTTACCGGCCATGCCAGGAGCGGATGTCTCGAGCCTCGTGCGGGGGAAAGACATGTAAGGAGGCTGGAGGTAGTAGGTGGAAATTGGGAACGGATTCCCGTCTCCCCTTACACACTTTCGCCCTATTCGCACGGGATAAATTTATTTTGAAGCACATTTTTGAGCACCTGTTATTTTCAAAACATGACACAAGAGTCCATGACAGGCAGAGAATCCACAACACCACACAATTCAAGGGTCCTAAGATCACTAATTCACTCAATCAACCAACTCAATATGAAGAAGAAATGAGACTTCTTAAATGCATCAACATCCTCCATAGTGCTACACTACCTCCCTAGGTTGCATATTACTAAAAAGACTGTCAATTCAAAGCATACTGAGCAGGCAATTGCATGGAAACACGTACTTGGAGCCCTCAAATTTAAAAATTTGGATAGTGGACTAGGCTCCAAGCACACAAACAGATCTAATGCAGTCAAAAGATAAACACCCCCCACACTTAAGATCGACATTGCCCTCAATGGAGAAGAGGGAAGGATAAGGGAACGATGTTACCGGTATGCACGGACTGCAGGAGACTGGAAACGGGCCAATCGGGGCAAGCACAGCCAAAGGGAAACAGAAGAGCTCAAACACAATATGTTAGGTTCAATGGTCAGCCCAATAAAATATCATCCAAACCAAAAGAAAACAAACCAAACCCAAACCGGGTTACAATCCGACTCAAAACACAAGAAAGAAAATCAAACCGTGGTGGGGTTGCCTCCCCACAAGCGCTTCTTTACCGTCTTTTAGCTGGACGCCCATGGTGGATACTCAGGGCGGTGCAGGAACAGGTGCCTCCAAGAGCGGATCCACGTCGCTCTTGAGGTACAGCTTCAGGTTGTGGCCATGCACCCGACGGATGCGACCACCCTCATCAGTCAGCTCTACCTGCCCATCTGGCAAGATGCAGGAGAGCGAGTACCCAGACGGCCAGGGTGGTCGTGGTGCAGGAGGTGGGACCAGCTCATAGTGGTCTCCACTCTTCTTCCGTGCAGGCTTAGCAACCTGCTGCTTCGGCCGCCACTCCTCCTTGAGCTTTTTGTTCGGAGGCGAGGCTGGATGGAGTGGCGGCGAAGGAATGATAGGAGGGTCCTGCCAAATAGGAGGTGTAGAAGGGTACACGACAGACTCGTGTACCTGATCAGACATAGCATGCACAGGCGTGACAGAAATCATAGCACAGTGATCAAACTCAGTCACAGAAAAAGTAGCCTGGTCATCCCCAGCACGCAAGATCAACTTACCATCATGCACATCAATTAGTGCCTTGGCGGTGGCAAGAAATGGCCTACCTAGAATCAAGGGCACATCCACATCCTCATGTATATCAAGAATAACAAAATCAACAGGATATGTGAATGCACCAACACCAACAAGCAGATCCTCCATGTTTCCCCTAGGATGCACAATAGAACGATCAGCTAATTGAATGCTCATCCTAGTAGGGCTAAGTTCACCTAGGTCTAGCATTTTATACAACTTATATGGCATGACGTTAATGCTAGCGCCTAGGTCCGCCAAGGACTTTCCTACATGCATGTTGCCAATAGTAAGAGGGATAGTAAAACTCCCTGGATCCTTGCGCTTCTCGGGCAGCTTGTTCTGCAGGATAGCAGAACACTCCTCGCTCAGCATCACTGTCGAGAGATCCCCAAGTTTCTTCTTGTTGGTGCAGATATCTTTCATGAACTTGGCATACTTGGGCATCTTCGACAGTGCCTCCATGAACGGTATGCTGATATTGAGCTGCTTCAACATTGCCATGAACTTGGCAAACTCAGTCTCCAGCTTGTCCTTGTGTAGGCGAGTGGGGAAGGGAAGCTGGGGTACATGCTCCTTAACCACTGGTTGTGGCTTGGGAGCAGGGGCTTCTTTCTCCACCCGCACTTCTGTATCGTCGGCTGGAAGTGCTGAAGCAGGCAGTGGTTCCTCCTGTCTGGCCGGGACAGGATCAGCAGATATGGTCTTACCGCTCCTGGTAAAAATGGCATCCAGCTGCTGATGCTGGTGAGGATCTCGAGGATTCGGGACAGTGGTGGCAGGCAGAGTCCCCGGTGCCCTGGTAGTGTTTTGGCGGGCCAAGATGCCCACCTGGGTCTGCAGATCCTGCAAAATGGCACCCTGGTTCCTCTGACCTGCCTCCAGTGAGGCTACACTCTGGTCCAACCTCGTGATAGTCGCCTGAGTGCTCGTCATGAATGAAGCTAGAATGTTTTCCAGCTTCGTCATCCTGTCATCTGGGGCTGGAGCTGCTGCTGGCTCGGCAAACTGGCGCTGGGGCTGCTGGAATGGCTGCTGTGGAACTGGCCCCTGTCGAGCCTGGTAGGGCTGCCTCTGCTGAAAACCACCTGCTGGTGCTGGGAAACCAGGTGGTTTAGTGGTGTTGCTGCTCCAGGCGAAGTTGGGATGCTGGCGCCACCCCTCATTATATGTGCTGCTGTATGGATCGAGGCGCCTCGCATTGGCGATGAAGGCCAACTGCTCCTGGGGTGTGGTAGACTCCCTCATAGCCTGGCAGTCCTCCACTAGGTGACTGGAGCTCTCACACCACTGACATTGAGCTACTGGAGGTGTAGCCAAACCTCTGCCCGGAATCAGACTGTTGGGCTGCTTCAATGTCTGCACTAGCTCAGCTACCTGCTGCTCGAGCCCGGATCTGGTCTCCATGGCGTGCACACCATGGTCCCGGGACTGTCTGCCTCGGCTACCCTGTCCCCAAGAATGATCTCTGGCAGCCAAAGTACTGATCATCTGGTTCAGCTCGGGTGGAGTCTTGGTAAGAATATCCCCTCCTAGGCATAGAGACTCAATCACCCTCTGGCTATCTGGCGAAAGGGCACTGTAGAAGTCCCCACTGTGAATGCATCACTGAAGCCATGATGGGGGCACTGCCAGAAATAGTCCATGTACCGCTCCCAAGCATCACGAAGGGACTCATCTGGCTCTTGGCGGAAGTGAGTGATCTCCCGCTGAATCTCTGTAGTCTTCGATGCCGGATAGTACCGGTGCACGAACTTGTCAGCCAGATCGTCCCAAGAGGTGATGGACAATGGGGGCTGGGTCTCCAACCACCTCTTAGCATTCCCCGCCAGAGAATGGGGGAAGAGATGAAGGCGATCGCATCATCGGGGACACCATTCAGCTTGAACCCGTTCGTCAGCTGCAGAAAACGGGAAAGATGCACCCTGGCCTCCTCATTCTTCAAGCCATGGAACTGGATAGATGATGTAATGAGCTGAATCCAGCATGGCTTGATCTCGAAATTGTTTGCTGGAATAGGCGGGTAGAGGATGACCGGGCGGATGTCAGCAATCCGCGGAGTGTAGTAGTACTCCAAGGTGGGACCCGGCTGCGGTGGATGATGAGCTCCATGATCCTGGGGTATGGGGTTGTTCCCCAGGACCTGATTCACCGGGGGAACCTGCTGTGGATTCCCCTGGTGTTGGTTGTAGTCTCCGTCCATCCCGGGCTCTTCTTTAGAATCGCTGCTCAGGTGGCCGTCTATGCGCTCTTCCGTAGCCAGTCTAGCTCGCTGTTGTCTCCTGAGCTGGCGACAGGTGCGGTCAATCTCTGGATTCAACGGCAGTAAACCTCCCGACTGGCTACGGGTCATGCACTACCTGCACACACTCAAGCAACAAACCCGTGAAGGCACAAGTGGGACAAAGAAAACAAAGCAAAAAGAAAAGCTAAATTAACAGAAATCACTTTTCTTCAACAACCTAGCCGTCCCCGGCAACGGCGCCAAAAACTTGACTCGACTCTACTGTCACTCCAGGAATTGGCCAAGTGAAACCACTTCCTAAAGCGTAGTATAGCGGGTTTGGGTTTAATTATCAACCCGGGTCCTAGATATGATGACTACTCAGTGAATTCGTGTTATCTAGCAATGAAACTGGAATGCAAGTCTAAACTATCAAACTAACAAAGCAGGTAAACGGTTGTATTCAGGTTAAAGAGGTCACCCGGATATGGTTCCCCCTAGACTGCAGTTAAGCCGGATTGTAATTACCAAGTTCAGTTTCTATGACAGTTATACTGCGGAAGGTTCTTAAACAGCCTGAAGTCTCGACTAAAGGTCTTCAGACCCTCTCAATCTGACTCTCTAGCGGGCGACTAACCTCCACCGGAGTCGACAGATTGAGGCCCTAAGAACAAAACCTCCACTACCGGAGTAAATCCGGTACAGAATAGTGAGTTGGCTCCTCGACTAAAGTCACCAACTCCCTACCTTCAATCAAGGATACTCTATTAACCTAGGCAGATATTCTCATTCTAGGTCAAAGCAGAAACAACAGGAATTTGATCAGGATTCAAGTCATTCAATCATTAAAACCTCAATCGAATATAATCAATCATAGAATCAGTACTTGGGTTCATACAATCAAAGCCTAACATATAAATCTAGGGTTCTCCATACCCAGATGAATGGGAGAACTACTCCATGGAGAAGAAAGCAAAAGCAGAATCAGACACGGAATTCATACTGCGAAGGATGGATTCCTGCTTCTGGACGTTGATTGGCACTTCTCCAAGCTCAAGCTGGCCTCCAATGGTGTTGAAGATCAATCTAGGGCACTTGGGAACTCTTGCTCGTCACTTTCTCTCTCTAGGAACTGATCTCTCTCTCAAAAACTCGAATCCCCTTGAATTGTGGCTGAAACTCTGCTTAAAAGCATCAGTGGCCAAAGCACGGTCGACGGCACGGCCGTGCTTTTCCTGACTCCGCCCGTGCCTCGGCCAGGGCTTAATTACACGGCCAGCAAGTGGGTTAAACACGGTCGTGCTTCGGGTTGGACACGGCCGTGCTTTGACTGAACACGGCCGTGCTTCGGTGCCCGTGTTTGCAGCTG